AACCATACACAAAAAACAAACCTCCAATTCCTTTTTTGACAGCATCCAATATCTCTGTGTAGATTTTCCTCTGTTCTTCAGTAAGATTAGCATAAAGAAGATCATGTTCTTCTTTTAGTGTGGCTCTATCGTAATCTAGTTCATCATGTATCATAGCATTCAATCCCTCGTCAATGAAAATGTCACCTGGATACGGCATTCCTGGAAATTCCTTTAAGCTTTTTCCATGAGATCGTAATGTAATCTCAATTTCCTTCAAGGCGTGCAACTTCATTTCATCGTCAGATACAATATAATCTGTCAAGTATCATTAATTGTTTAAGATTATCAATAACCAATTCAGAAATGTAAATATCATAGGGATGAAAAATGGTTATTAAGTAATAGATATATAATTTAAACAATTAATCAGTTCATGAAGAAAATACCTTCATTCCTATACAACCATTTCAGTTTGGCGGGTATATCTTCCGTGTAACAATCCCAGGTCTCGTTCCATACATGATTAGGGTCGGATACAATGTCATTTTCTAATAATTGTGAAAACAAATTTCTGCAGTATTTAGATGATCCCCATGTATAACCCTGCCGTATACAGTCTATGTATTCTTTATCATCATCAAGTAAACATCTTGCAAAGCAAGTTTGTTTGAACGATAAATGTTTTGTCCCCTCAAATGTCAATATATCTTCATAACATGTTGGTCCTTTGACTATGTTAAGTAGCACTCTTAGATAATAAGGTTCACCAGCAGCTATAGGGACTCCATAGATTCTACCGATAGCTGAACCTCTCTGTCTTGGCTTCCAAATTTTTTCTTTTCTTTTCCATACAAAATATTTAGGAAACTGTATGTATGTAAGCTCCTTAGCTTCAGGGTAAATAGAGTTAGCTTCCAACCAAGCAGTAAACATTGAATGTCTGTTAGAAGCTCTTGTAACAACAGCTTCTACAGTTTGATCTTCGTCATACACAACACTGTGTTGACCAGGCATATGGAAGCTGAGACGTTCTACATGATGTGACCTGTAATGTATTGGAAACTCGAACATACGCCATGCAGCTTCACAACCTGATAAATACCATCCTTCGTACCAATCTTTAACTTCATCTTTTGGACCTTTATCCAAATTTTCTCTCACAACTTCACCATTTATAGTGTATTTGAAAGAAACTCTGTCAGAACCCTTATTAAGATATTTGAACAGATATTTTATAGCTCCTGCTTGGTTACACCATTCAACATTTAAATGTGCATGATATCTGACAGTCAAATATGGGTTATAACCAACAACCCATCTGTTATCTATGGTCGCACCATCTTTCTCAAATGTTCGACCATCATTCCTTCTCCTGTAATCTGGGAAACCATCACCATCTATGCTGGTTGTCTCTTTGAACTTTTTGGGGAACCTTTTTGAACATCTTTTCTTAACCATGCAAGGACTATAAGGAAAATCATCACCACATGGACCATGAATCATCATATCAGTCACAATACTGTATATGACAGGATCTTTATCCTTATCAGGGAGTTCTGCACATATGAATTTATCAATATCTTCTGGTTTTGTTAGTTTATCATCACGATGCAACCACACAACTATATGTGCATGTGGGAGACCTCTTTTCTGATACTCAATGGTATAGACAGTGTAAGGATAATTTCAAGTGATCAATAAACTGTAGTTTCCATATCAATTACATTTTAACAAAGCATGAATCATCATAAATGAAAGTAATATATTAAAATACCGCTTCTGTCTGCCAAATATATTGTTTGATTTAATATCTTCCATCGATACCAAGTTTCATCATAAAAACCCTAGAAACAATATCTGGTCTATCTTCGTGCCTTAGTCCTTTTTATTGCAATATCGATTATCTCTCGGCCACTTGATATTGCATGTGAAAGTTAAGAAAACATCGGGATAACCATAGGTCTTAACTAATGCCATTGCATCAATGTAATTCTCCTTTTCCATCTGTCACCGCTTTGTGAATGAAGACGGTATCACAACCCTCCCAACCTCGGATGCATGTGAATTTCCAGTTGTCAATGATTTCCGCATGTTTTCATATGTTTCACATCCGAGATTTCTTTGATTTTTTCTAATCCAAAGATATTCTTCCCGATTCAACCGCACTATAACCATCAACCGAAACTGTTGAAACAGTCTTGAGCATATAACAACATTGAACCATCTTCATCTCGATCCCGCATACGGTATGCAAACCATTCACGTATACTCATCCATTTACGTGGTCCTTTAATTTGTTCATCCAATCCTTCGCTTTCATTTTCTTCTTCGGTAGATCTCCATCATCATCTTGATGAGCATCCGGATCTCCAAGTTTGATATTGATCCGAAACCATCTTCGCCATATGGGAAAATTAAAGGATATTGAAGTGAAATGTAGGAAGGATGTAATTCATTGATGCGCCAAGTTCACTGATTTATATTGAACAATGATGTCTCTTGTTTCAGTTTTGTTTCCTTCATCTCCGGTAGAATAGCCGCAACTTCATCAACTGTTGGTAAATTATGTGTTTTGCCATCCGTGTATCTATTTGAAATAAGTTTCAATCGATTTCAATTGAATAGCTTGCCCAAGAGTATCACGTACCTTCCGTATGTTTTGACCAACACATTGTGTTCATCCATCACATCCTTAATCTCATTTACAATATGTGAATCAAGTTGATGTGTTTTTGATTGAGTTCTGCTGAACCGCATTTACATCAAGCAGTAAGTTTTAGAAGTTGTAAAAGAATAAGTGTTGTAAAAACATAATAGTAAATAATTCAAAAGTATTTTTCCAGTATTTGAATATCAAACTATACCTTAAAGCTCCAATCCTGTTATCGACTTCATTTTGAGTATCATAAATATATAACTGAGAAAACTTTGGTCTGAAATCATCTTCTGGAAGTAGACTACCCATGAAGTGGCTGTTATGTCCTTGCATTTTGAATAAATATGGTGCACGACCATCATTGATTGAATTTACAATGTTACCACCCATTGATGTGAATGCGAACATATTATTATATGCTCTGATATTTTCCAAAAAGTGTCTACTTTTTGCATCATTAGACATGAATAAACTCTTTAGTGGAGCAGGTGGTTCTTGAAGTAAAGGAAGATGTATTTGTCCTTTTCTGCAACATATAGAGAATTTAGGACATGACTCTCTTCTTTGTTTGTTTGCCCTTTCTGCGTACCACATATTAGCACAGCAGTATTCACATACATATGTTGGGTCTCCTAAGTCATAGTATTCTGGAGAACAAAAAAATTTGCATATTACAGTTACATGCAAATAAATGTAAAATCTCAGGTCTTTAAATTTCTTGGAATTTGGTACCTGTATTTATATATGATATTCTTTTCTGAGTAACTTTGCATTTCCCAGGACGCAACATGTTTTTCCTTCTCTTGGGAGCGCTTTCTTCAGTACTTTTTGTCCTTCCATAAGGCATAGTATCAAATGCATTTATGATGGCTACATATATCCGTCATTCAAAATGGAGGATAACATTTAAGGTATGATTCAAAATCAAATCATATTATTAAAAGAAAACTAAATGAACTTTTTTTTTAAACCTGATGAGTTAGAATCTCCAATATTTGCTGAGCTTTGCAAACTTTTCTGTGTTATTTGACTTTTATCATATATGACAACTCCACCCCTTAATATTGTTGGTATCTCTGTAACTGTGTTCCCTTTCTTTTTGTCTAATTTTCGCTTTCTTTCCAATCTCGAATGTTTAGAAGTACCTAATAAAATGAATATAGATCATACTGACCCTGGAAAGCAATATTACAAACAACGTAAACAAAACTAATATATCAATAATAACATACCTTTCAAACCTCCACTGTTTGATATTTCTGAAAATTCAGATACCGGTAGAGACTGGCTGACCATATCTTTTTTCATTCTCATATGGTGTAATATTTGTTTTCTACGATTCCTTGCAATCTTAGCAAAAACATATTTACTGTTATTTGTTGATAACGAATTGAAAACAATAGTACCTTCACTTTTTAGCATTTTGATCAACCTGATCTGGGATAATATTATCCTTCTTCGTATCCTTGCAGTCTTAGAAGCAATACAATAGACTTTAGTTTGTTTTGTAACCAGATTGACACTTTGCTTTGGCTTTGGTTTACATGTTGAACCTGGAAATCTTGATATTTTTTTACTGTGTAAGATCTGTTTTCTGAACAATCTGGCTTCTTTTGCTTGAACATTCACCATTCTGCTCTCTGACAAAATGTTCCAGACTTTGACTCCAGGACAAATTAAATTAGGAGATCTTACTAATCCATTATTCTGAAAAGAAATCAGCTTTTATAATTGTAATATATATGTCAAAATGTAATTTAAAATCTTATCATAATATTCGATAAGATGGAACAAAATCATTGTAGATAATTATAGTAATAATTCTATATTCTATATACTATAATAATAATGATGTTTATCAATTATCAAAAGTTTGTTATCAAATCATGAAGATATCAAATACCTTATAAGATATATGTGATAATAATATATAAGGATAAGGATAGTAATATCTGTTCTTTACCTTTTCTGTTTGAAAAAAAAAATATGATATTTTGAATTGTATATTTGTATTTACAAAGGTTTCCCTAAATAATAATATATATATATATATATTTTTTGTATATTGGTAACTTAAGTATTTTCAGAAGGGTTACCAGAATGTATGTATATATATGTATGTATTCATATATATATATATATATATACATATATTGTAGTTTTATTAAGTAATATTGGTGGATGACATAAAAGTGATACTGTCAAATGGAGAATAACATTAAATAATGACCGAAATTTTAATTATTACCATTTGAAATAAAAACAAAACCATTGACAGAATCCTTAAATAACGTCAATGTAAACAACCAGTACATAACAATGTTCTTAAAAAATCATAAAATAATCAATCCATAATCTAAATTTATAAAACTTCGAGTGTTAAGAGTCCCTTGTTAGCTGCCTTGCGAGCATCTATACGAAAGGCCAGTGTTATACCAACAGGAATTTTCATTATGCTCATCATGTACTCGAGATCTCCTTCAATAACAAAACGATGCGGGTTGTCTGTTGTTAAAATACGTTCCATGCGTATGACAGGAACTCCATCATAATACAAAATAGCACTTAATGCATCTTCTACATTCAACCTCCTGATCATATGCCATGGTATTTCCTGCTCCAGCACATAACATTTAAAAACTCTTATATTTTTCCATAACATAAAATGGGATAATATTAAGTATGGAACTGGGATTTAGGAAATGAAATGTAAAGCTCTAAAGTTATAATGTTTTGGTCATACCAATCTGCCACGTAGTATTTGAATGTTATTCATAATTGCAGAAAATGTATTCTGATCTCCATTACTACTAAGGTAGGCAACTGAATCAATCTCACCTGAAAGCAAATGAGTATATAAATGATAAAATGCGTGTAAGAAAATATTTAAACTGTAAATAACAATGTAATAATCCACAAATATAATGAACTTATCTCACCATCAGATGTATCTGAATCTTCAAGCATCAGATTACAACAGTAACCTTTATTGTCGAAAATGCGCCGATGAAATTTTAAATTTCCAATGTAAACAAAAATGACATTGATACATTTAAGATGATTAAAGTAATAGTCAACAAACTCTTCCCATTTAGGGCCTTCAAAACCTACTGCTTCATTCTCCTCCCTGTAGATCATGAATTCCCAGTTGTATTGCTTAACATCCACGGCATTTGCTATGTTCTGTTCTGAAGGCCAGTGGATCCCAGAAAAGAACTGTTTGTCAACAACCTAGAAAATATGATCAGATAATAATAATATGAGTTATCAAGTTCAATAAATAATTGGTCTTTATCTGAATGTAAATTTTTTTTAATAAATGAGAAAAATACACATTGTTCGTAATTAAAACTTACAGCACGGTTCAATGACTTCTCATCTAATTTCATGAGGAAGCGGTTGCCAATGGGTAATTTCAGATCTGATTGAAGTCGTAGACATCCATCATATGAAAAATGGAATAATTGAATGAAATTACCGGATAACTGATATATAACATGTAACTTTGATGTGTGGGAAACACCAATCTCTGTGAGGAATTCTTCAAGTGCAGATCCATACAACTGACATCTCCTTTTCTTGTTAATATGAATATTAACAAACACCATGCGTATTCCTGGAGCATCAATTCTGATCTGCTTTCCAACATGTCTGATAATTGAAGTTAAGTTGCTGCTAAGTATCTGTTAATTTGCAGAGAAGTTGTTATATATGAAAAGCCTTAATATATAGAACGGAAATCATCACAGGAAGACATTTTAAAACATACCAATCCTTTTGTTCTGAAATCAACTGGAACTACAATCACTTGTTCATATGCCTGCTCCATGTTGTCTTAACACTGGAAAGTTGATCTAAATTTTGATTGATAACACCAGAACCAAATAATATATATTGGTTGATGCTGTGCCTTCACGTTATGTGCTGTTAAACTTTTTAGAACCCTTGAAAAATAGATGGGAGATAAAATTTTAGTTTGATTTATACAAATCCTGGATAGTTCTGGAAAATAAGAAGACTTTTAATTAGACTGAAATTGTAAAAGGGAAGTTACCAAATTTTTACTGATGCCTGTTGAAATATCCCATAAAATTAGGAGAACATAATAAATTTATTATTTTAGAATATTGGAACAGGTTAAAAGAATCATGTTATAAATGAATGTCTTCATATTAATAAAGTAAATCCAATGTATTCTATTTTTATAATGAACGTCAAACTCCTAATAATTTATTACATATATGTGGAAAATTAGTATTTTAGTATTATTATGGGACTAATGTCACGCTAATTGATAATACTTAAGTTATTATGTTGTTACAGTGATTATTTGTTGTTGAGTTATTCAAATATTGAAAAATAAACTAAATGTAAGATAACTTTTATATTACATGGTGAAACATAATTAATCAAACAACAATATTGAAAGCATCTATCAATTACATAAACTGCAAAAAAACAGGATAACACCATGTCTTGGTTGGACGCTATTCTTGTGCATATGGAATTAAAAGAGGTTTCCTGTTGCCATGGCATTGTCAGAGAGCGAATTCTCCCAGTCTCTCACTATGTTTAATTTACAAATTCCTATTCCAATGAACTTTTAGTCATAAGACCGTTGAAGTTTCATTCAGATCCAACAATCAAAATTCTGCTTTCATGTAATCCTTCTGTACTATGAAGATACAGTTAGATGCATTAAATTGATTCTTCGTTGAATGGCATCACAGCTTTTTCACACGCTTATTGACTTTTGATTTGACACTCTCCTCACCGGCACTTGCAGGTAGCGTATTCTTTGAAGGAGGACTCTCTGCAATGTAATTGCGTGGAAGTCCATGTTAGTATGATCAGTGGAGGAAATGGCAGTCTGTGTTTACAGGAAACTGTAAGTATTGGAAAATCTGTTTATTGTACAAATTTACATGAACTTTAAATCACAAATCTCACATATTCATTATAAGTTCGAAATTGTGATATAGAATTTTTAAATACCTTTGCAGTACTGTCCTAATTAGTTGTTCTGCTTTGATTGTATACTGCACTCATTTTATGTTCAATGTCCTGAAATGTAATTGTACAAAGTTGATTATATAGCATCACTGATTTAAAATAAGATATTGCAAATAGGAAATATATGTGAGATTGTGTTTATAAAGTAGTGAACTTACTTGATCTTCAGCAACATCATCTACATAATTTTTAATAATGTCTGCCTCTGTAGTGCGCCTAGCAAGCTAAAACAAAATATTGATAACATTTTGTTCCATTCACATCCATTTTTCCCAATTCTGATTTCATATTATCATTCTGTATAATGAATGTGTATTTGTTGTAATTAATATGCTTCTTCATGCACATTAATGGAAAACATTACTTAAAACTCATGAAAACATCATTATTATGAATGTGGCGTGGAAAACCAATCTACTTGATAAGTAAAACAAAAGGAAGTTTCATATTAAAAAACATCCAAAATTCCACCAATATAATAGTGGATTCCGAAGTTCATATAATATAAATAATGTTTACTGATTGTGAAAAAAAAATTCAGATGATGAAACACAAAAACTAAGTGAAGTGTTTCTTTATTTTTGCAGGCATTAAATTGACTCTCTTCTTTCAATGACATCACAGCTTTTTGACACGCTTGTTGGGCTTTGATTTGACACTCTCCTCACCGGCACTTGCAGGTAGCTTATTCTTTGAGGGAGGACTCTCTGCAATGTCATCCCCGGGAAGTCCCATGTCATTATAATCAGTGCAGGATACGGCAATCTGTGTTTACAGGCAAATGTAAGTGTCGGAATATCTGTTTATTGCATAAATTTACATGATATTTTATATATAAGTCTCACATATACATTAGGAGTTGTGATATATAACTTTTAAATACCTTTGCGGTACTGTCCTGATTAGGTGTCAAATTTTGATAGTATTCTGCACTCATTTCAGGATCAATGTCCTGAAATGTAATCGTACAAAGTTGAATATATTTCATCACTGTTTGAAAATAAAATATTGCAAAAAGGAAAAAAAATTGATTGTGTGTATGAAGTAGGCAACTTACTTGATCTTCAGCAACATCATCTAGATATTTCTTAATAATGTCTGCATCTGTAGTAATCCTAGCAACTGATATCTCACTGTTACTGTTACGTATGTTGAAATTAGATACATCCAGCCTGAACAAACATTTCTTCCCAACAATTTCATTAAGTATTTTAGGATAGTCCTTCTCCTCCTGTAACATAGATAAGTCTTATTAGTTATTCCAGACATCTTTTTTTTCTTGAAGGAAAAATGAGACTCAATTTTAAATACCTTCTGACGTAATTCACCAGCAGTTTTATTAATGAAATTGTAAACCATCCTGTCCCATAAGGTTACAATCCTGCTACCAGATGCATCCCTGACATATACCTGTAACTTGAACCTGGCCATATTACCATAAACAGAGCATATAACTGTTGAGAAACTACAACTGTAATATATTATCTAAAATTTCAAAGGTATAAATTAACAGTATACAAAAATAAATCTATTACTTTGGTCCAACAGCAGAAACAGGACCATGGTTACCACACATCCACTTCTTCTCAACACTTATCTTCTTTTGGGCATCAACATTCCTCCCTCTCAGTGATTGGACTACCTGTTTTTCAGCATTAGGCTTCTTACCTCTAAAGTACTCAATTTCCTCAACCTTTTTGTTGCATTCTTTGCAACCTATGTACGACCAATCATATTCTGTTTCTAAACCAGTTATCTTTGCAAAGACAACAACATAGGCAGCCTAACAAAATCAAAAAAAATCAACATTAATTATAATCCAAATAAAATTAATAATAATGGGTTGAAATAGAAAATTAGTACGATTTATGGTACCCCATCTAGTTGATCTATGTCAGCCAATGAAAGCAGGTTTGCGTCATTTATGAAATCTTCATAAGTAGTGTATCCAGATATAGAGGACATCATCGAAATTTTGTGGATGCTTGCTTGTTTGATCTCATCATCAAAGGCACTTATTGGACATAAAAAGTATTAAATCGTAATATGTTTATCATAGTCCATAAACTGTTCCACCACATTCAGTATTAAATATACCTGTCTTTATATTCAAATATCTCAGGCATGGTCATATCATCAAGATAAATCTTTCCATTCAAAAGATTTGTAGTAACAGAAGCTTTTGTTGTGCATTAGATGGTGATAAAATATAAGTAATAAACTTTGTAAATTGAAAGTATTAACTGGAATGTATGTATTAAGGACTAATACACTTACAGTAGTACTTCTTGCACTTTACATACTGTACAATAAGTACAACAGGAAAAGTGGGGATTGAATCCATGTATTCCAAAACTTTGTCAGCATGTTCACCCCATAAGGTTACTTTCAGCCTGTCAGCCCTTTTTTCATACATAAACAACCTTCATTATTACAATTTATTAAACATTATATAAACATTGTTTTATATGTAATAAATGTATACAACTTATATACCTTTCATCTTCAAGTTCAACAGAAATCCTTTTTTTATCATAGTCAACAATAGGATCACTGTATGCAATTATGTGACCTCTCAGATCTGCATAAATGTGTAAAATTGCAAATTAAAAACTGTTTAAAAACATATGAAAATGCAGATGAATACAGTCTTTAACAAATAATGAAGTATTGTAAAAACTATGGAACTTTTACCAAAACAATAATCTAAATTAGCCACAAAATTTGTAACTTCGGCAAAAGGTGTGAACTCAAAAACATGATTTGGAATGTCAAAATCAAAAACAGCTTCAATCAATGTGTTTGATTCAAACACGATTTTGTATTCGTGTTTAGCACAGCGAAAACCACCAGCAATGTTCAGTCCATGATCAAATCGTGACAGCCTTCTTACAGAACCTTCTTTTAAGATATCCTGAAAATCTTTCACATAACGGCCAGGAACAGTAGCCTGAATTTTACCACCCTGTATACAATAAAATGATAAGAACAAACAATAATTTCATTATTTACTCTATAATTTAGATGTATTATAAAACGAAACATGTAAGAAACCTGTGCATCAATCAAAGTCATCTCCATCGATTTAATTTTGCTGCTCTTGGAAGACTCTGGTACTTTCCATAACGTCATAATCCGGGCAACAATGAAGAAATGTATGCTTTTTGTATCAATCAGTCCATTTATGTCAGCAATGTATCTTTGCGCTGCAGTTATGGGAACAGATGCAGCATTAGTTTGAACTGAAGATACGGGAACAGATGCAACAACTGCTTGATTTGGGGAGGGACTGATGGGGGCAGATGATGCAGCCTGATTGGTAATTTTTGCATTTTTCGGACTGTAAGGACCAGATGTTTCGACATGATTGCCTGGCAGCGAAAAACTGTTGACAACATTACCTCGAGTTTCATTACGACCTTCATGAACAAAGGAAGGTTGCACAACATGCTGGTTTGAGTTCTGTTCAGAGGCCATGGAAATAACAACTTAAGAAAGGAACTTTTGAAGTATAAACTGTGAAGGTTGCTATATGATGGTGTATGGCTGTAGAACCATTCATTTATACAGGTATTTATACAGGTATTTCACTGATAATGCGACCATTTTTAAAAGTTTTTATTTTTTTGATCTGATTGAAGTTGTTATGAAAGATATATATGGATGGATGGATTAGTTCTTGTTATTTGCATTTTAAAATGTGTATTTTATCCCATTTGGTATATATATCTGTTTAATGCTGATTCACAGGATAATAATAATAGAGATAGAGATAATAATAATAATAATAATAATAATAGAGAAAAACATCATCAATGTCAATCAGCATTAATAGAGAAAAAAAAATCTGAATTTCATATATATGAACCTGTTTTCTAATTTGAATTACAGGGCCAGATGATTCTCAAAGCTAATTTTGAGGAAGATGATTCTTTGGGATAAGAGTATAGAGGCAGCATATTCTCCAAGCTTGATTACACAGCTGGAAATCAGGGAAAGATCAGTGCATATATCCAATTGTTGTATTGCTAAGAGTCCTGAAAATTAGGCTTTCAACCGAGTATACATGTTAAAAGTATTTTGTGCTGTAAATTAGGCCATTCCGAAAAATTTCATTGAAAGACAAAACTGGGATGTATGTATTAAGGACTATCTTTATTATTATTCGTATTTTTTTGTGCTGTATTTTGTGCTGGAAATTAAGCACAAATTGGGCTATATTTTGTGTGCTGGAAATTTTGTGCTGGAAATTAAGCACAAATTGGGCTGTATTTTGTGTGCTGGAAATTAGCTCATTTAAAGGCTTTTGTTATGCTGCAGAATTTGTGCTGGAAATTAATTACAAATTGGCCTGTATTTTGTGCACTGGAAATTAGCTAATTTCAAAGGTTTTGTTGTGTTGGAAATTAAGCACAAATTGGGCTGTATTATGTTGTGCTGGAAATTAGTCTTCTGACCGAGTAAACATAGGGGCAAAAATTTTGCAACGCATTGGTGAAGCCACGTGTCTTATTTGTGTAGCTTGAGATTTGTACTGTAAATGGTTTTGGAGGGAAATTTTTCTTTGTGGTGTTGACATGTGTACAAAATGTTTGTTGCTTTAAGTAAGTACACTAGATAATAAGAGTGAACCTCAAAACAAGTCATCAACCTTTAATATATTTTCAATCTAGGTCATCAATTAAATTTATTTGTAACACAGGTTACCTTACAAAAGTTTTAATCCATTTCAAATTATTTTGTTAATTTTGGCCTTTAAATAATGACGGAAATCCATTTTTCATATGCTTTTGGGTTTAGGGGTATTTTTGTCATTTTATTATGTTTTTATTTTTTATTTTTTTTTAATTTTTTTTTTTTTTACAATTCTTCTTCTTATACTTCCTAACTCGTATACACTGGTAGTATAATTCTAAATTTTAAAAATTTATTTTTCTTTTGTATTTTAACTTCTAGATTATAAAATTTTTTAAAAAAAATTTAAGAAATGAAGAAGAAAAATTCGAGTTAAAGTAAACATGAAAATTAATAATTTACCATTTTAAATAAAAAAATTAAAAGAATTAGATAAGACAAGTTGTTTCTTCTAGGTTATTTAATGTTTTTCAACTCGATTGAATTATTTACTTATTAATTTTCACATTTCTTATTCCTTTTTTTTTATAATCTAAAAGTTAAGATACAAATGACAAACAAATTTATTTTTGAAAATTAATTTTTCATTTGTATATTAACTTGTAGATTATTAAAAAAAGGAATAAGAAACGTGAAAATTAACAATTAAATAATTCAATCGAGTTGAAAAAAATTAAATAACCTAGAAAAAACAACTTGTCTTAGATAATTAGTTTAATTTTTCTTTTTGTTTAAAATGATAAATTATTAATTTTCGTGTTTAGTTTAACTCGAATTTTTCTTCTTCATTTCTTAAATTTTTTAAAAAAAAATTTATAATCTTGAAGTTAAAATACAAAAGGAAAATAAATTTTTAAAATTTAAAATTATACTACCAGTATATACAAGTTAGGAAGTATAAGAAGAAGAATTGTAAAAAAAAAAAATTTAAAGATTAAAAAATAAAAAATAAAAAAATGACAAAAATACCCTTGAACCCAAAAACATGTGAAAAATGGATTTCCGTCACTATTTAACGACCAAAATTAACAGAATAATCTAAAATAGATTAAAAATTTAGTAAGGTAACTTGTGTTACAAATAAATTTAATTGATGAGTAGAAATATATTAAAGGTTGATGACTTGTTTTGAGGTTCACTCTAATAATAATAATAATAATAATTAAGCTTGCGATTTGTCGCCTACTTCTAATTAGAAGAAAGAAACCAAAGTGACTTTATGAACGAAGTTGCTACGTACTTAACGTCTTAACCTATTAAAATTGATGCATGTAACATGTGAAAACAATTTCTTAATCATAAAGAATTAACACATCATGAAAACATACTTTGATTAATCACCAGGATATAGAGGTCATAATAATACTTAGCAGATTACACACGGTCCCCTCCTCCTTGTATACATACCAGCCACCATATTAGGATCCGAATCCGACAATCTTACAAGTTTAAAAGCCAGTCGATCTCAACAAAGATTGAATCCTTCCATATGACTATCTATAAACCACAAAAATTACTAGAAACGTAAAAAGATTCCCATTTTTTTTTTGGGGTAAATTACCTTAATCTAAACAAAATAGAATTCAACTAAACAACTAAACCAAATAGAACTTGAGTGTTTAGAAGTGGAATAATATTACCTCTAGCGAAATGTTCTAGTGAAATGGGATTATAATTTATAACACATCATAGCTAGCGCGGGTATGCATAATTAAAATATTTATTTGTGTTTCTATAATCATCATGTGTGTTATTATTTCATTTCGAACATTCGGCTACATCTACATTTGCTGAATAAATCATATACAGCAATGATGTCAGTTTCTACAGTAAGAAAAATAACAATTTTTTTTATCTATATAGTAGTGTTGTTTGCCCTCATTATAAGTTCATCGATGGGTAGAATTTTTATTTAGAAAATATAAATATCTCGGATGAGATAATTATTTATATTGTTCCTGTTTAGAACAAAATTCGAACATCAACACGGGATTAGAATGGATGAATCCTTCTATCAACTACTTCCCTTTTATTTTTATTTTGTCTCTTTCGCAATTTGCAATTATTTTGCTAGTTTTTTTTATTTAGTATATTTAATGTCGGAAAACATTATTACGATTAATCCAAATTCGAGTGGGATAAGACATCGCTCCCCTAACAAGTAGCAATTCGGAATTATTTTGCTAGTTTCTGTCAACGTTGGAAAAGAATGAACTCATTTTTACTATGGAATCCATTGGGTTTAGAAAGAGGTCGCTGCATTAAAACTCCCTGCAATCAATAATGGGCCACTGTCAATCATAAGAGCACTTTGTAACCCAATTCCTTGGAGTAAAGTTTACAACTCATTTTCTCGTTTGTGTTTGGCAAGACTTTGAATGAGTGGAAAAAGACGGGATATTTTCCATCTGGCCCTTGGAAATTGGTGCACCTTTACTTCTCGATAATTTTATTTAAATATTTCTTTCTGATCAATATATAAATCTGAAGTTTGATCTCAGAAATGGCACTTAATTTATCTCGCTTTATTCATTAAAACAATGGAATATATGTATGTATTAATCTATGGTGGACAACTCTATTCATTTTCATTTATAATGTGGCATTTAGATACTGTTTACTATTAATATAAAAATATAAGAGTAGGATCGGAATTGTAATAAGTTTGTAAACTGAATATATATGATAAACGTTAGTATAACAAATTTTTTACAAGAAACTAGTGAGTAGTGTCTATCGGTAGCTGTTGGGCTCTCTTCGTAATATTGTGTTATAAGTCATGAGTTCAATAATTTTCTGGCCCATTTGATCATGAAAAAAGTACAAGCCAGCAGGGAGATATATGAATTTTTCATTTTTTTTTTTTTATCTAAAACAAAAGGAGGAGAAAGGGAACTTTTCAGTAAGTATTTCAGCAGGATCCGTTTCGGATTTTTTGCACTTATTTTCCTTGACTTTCTTTGACTCTGAGAATCTTTTTACTTTTCTAAACTAAACAAATATTAGAATTTAATAATTAAGAAAATGATTACTTTCCTGAACAAAACAAACGTGAAAATTTAAAAACAAGAAAAAAGATTACCTTCCCACGTAGATTTCAAGACAACCAAACAGGTTAGATGTTCAAACGCCCGTTCGATTAGAAAGCTCCTCAATCTTCATTATGACCAAGGCATTGGAGTTTTAACGGTATGTCGGTGGCTTCCAAGATCTTCCATTGTGATTAGACTTTTAAAACACTTTCGTAGCTCTAATGAGAACAAACATGTAAAATTAGTTTGTACTTTTATGGATTTAGTAGATTTACAAAAAGTCTCGTAATCTTATGTCTTTACAGCAAAAAGGAAATTTTCAAAGCAATTTTGATGATGTAAATTGTACTTTGTAGTGCGTTGGCTCACAACAAACATTTATTTGATTAAATGCCGTCCATGTAGGGCATCTTAATAATGTTTAGCTAAGTGCTAAACAAGTTGGATAAGTAGTATAACTTTTGTTAAACACTTTTCCGCAAGGAATCGAATGTTGCGAGCCATTAACACATCTTCATAGTACACTTGTTTATACTGGTAACACAAAGGTTTTGTCCATTGTCTTTTGCACTGGCTTAAGAAAGAGCGGGGGAGAATTTTTTCTTTAAAAAAATTTATAAAAAAAAAAAAGCCTTAGTTTAAGACGAGTGAGTGACTATTAAAGCAAAATTATTGCAAAGTGATGCCGACAGATTAAATGCTGTCTTGTGACAATGTTCCCTAATCTCATTACCAAACAACATTAACATCTGAACATCTGCAAACTCAACCCCAAATATAAACACCCTTTCTTATTATCCCCATAAAGTAAAAGTGTTACCTACCTATATAACTATAAGAGTGGTAGACTAAAAAGGGTAACCATTTCAAAGCCTTAATTTTTAATTGAGAAACTCCCCACTTTCCATTCTCCCTTTTCTTCCAACATCTTCCCTCTTTATCCTAAATTCATTTGAGATGTTCCACTAATTTCCCTTAATTTTTTTTTAAATTTTTTTTTTTGGTTCAATGTTGCATAATTAGTCTTTCCAATTCTACGTAACGAAACTATTGACAGCGCTACATTGAGAGTGCCTGCTTTAAATCCAGTTAGGTTATGTGAGCTTGTCACATCACAAGAACCAAATTAAACAGGTTGATCATTAATTAATGCCATCGAACTACCTCTTCAGAAGCCGAAAATTGAACTCTTGTTTCATCATCACAAATCTCTTTCTGCACTTTAAAAATTTTTCGAGCTGCAAAAATTTAAACCAAAACTATGTATACTGCGGGTAAACTGTAAATGGCTACAAAACAAAAGAGAATGCCCGTGATAATACTAAAACTACACTATAGGAGGGAGTACTATTTTACTGTAACTACTTATAAAAAAAAAAAAAAAAGGCCTGTAATAAGTAGCCAAAATCAGCTAAACAACAACAGGCGAAGAAGAAGAAGAAGAAGCCGAAGCAACAGCAGCAGGAGTAAATGTCCCATGTACAGCTGGCGGATGCTGCTGCGTTGGCTGCCGTCGCTCAGAATTCGATTGTGAAATCCAAGCCATCCATCTGGACACAGCTCCTCCAAATTCTTGTCGTTTTCTGTTTTCCCTCTTCCCCGTTTTCTGCCGTTGCTCTTCCCCACCACCGCCGTGATGGTGACGTACTACTACAACTTCTTCCTCGTTATTATTACTCCTAAACCTACTCAACCCCGTGATTTCTGACACGCTTCTCGCGTTTGTTACATTCTTACCACTCCTATTGCTACAGGAGCTCCCTTCCACGCTGCTCCGCGTTGACATCGACGGCCTGAATGCTCTGGAGGCCGAAAATCGACGGCTGTCGCTCAAGATCATCTCGGACTGTAGATACAGCAAATCGGACGGCTGTACATCGCTCCACCTCCGGTGGGGCCCATCCTCTGCGGAAATTATGATCCGGTGCTCCAGGCGCCTTTGTTGTTGTTCCGGTGCCACGTCTTTTCCTTTGCCGTTTCTGTTGTTGTGGATGATTAACGTCTTGTCACCATCATCACCGTCATCGCCGTCGTCATCATTCCCCAATAAAAGCTCGTCTTTTCTGGGCCGGTCAAAGCAGCCCACCTCCACGATTTCGCTGCTTTTCCCGCCGTTGGCATTTTGACGTTTCTTCTTCCTAGAACTCCAGCTGTCCAGCGACCTCCTCGGAATCACCCCCGCCGACTTCGGCGTCTCCACGATCACTTCCAGCATGTTCCCGGCGAACGAATGCCGGCCGGAGACCCTGGACACGGCGGCCCTTAACTCCGGCGTGGGGTGTTGTTGGCTGAATGATGACGACGACGATGATGACCTGGAAGGTGGAGTCGTCTCTCCGCCGCCGCTTCTTCGCTGTAAAATCCGGTGGTCCTCCACCAGCAAGATGTCTTCCGGGTCGACCCGGTAACGGCAGAGCGGGCAGGTGGAGTGGGCGTCCAGCCATGTGTCCACGCACTCGACGTGGAATGCGTGTTTGCATTTTGGCAATAACCGGAGCACTTCCGTGGGCTCGAATCTGTTCAGACAGACGGCGCATTCCAGTCCGTCTTTCTGTCCCCTTAAGGAGGCGAAACGGAAAATTGGTAGCGAGTCGATCACCGCCCTGTCTATGCCGGAGTTTTTCCGGGCAGTTGTCGGCGCCGGGTAATTGCCTCTGTTGTTGTTGGAGGAGAAAGGGTTGAGAGTATCCCCTCTCCGGCAGTGCTTAGCGTAGAGAAGCAATAGAAAAGTGACTGAAAAAACTGTGGTCAGAACTCCGACGATCACTGCTATGCTTGGCCTTAATGGGTTCCCTTTTGATTTGAGAATAGGTTCAGATTGAGGTGGCGGAGCAACACTTTCCGGTAACGACGACGATGAAGAAGAAGCTATAATAATACTAGCATCATTAGCACTTCCAGAAGAAGAAGCAATGAATAAGGAAAAATGGATGAAGAAGAAAGAAAGCCAGAGAGAGTGCAATTTTGGAATGGGTGTGGGTAAGCATTTGAAAATGCTGCCACCCATCCCCGTCGCCGTCCACCACCACCTCCTCCGCCGTCGGCCGGGAATGATGATTATGATGACAATGAAAAACTGGTGAAGAAACTATAAATGAGATATGGCTGGACGGACGGACGTTTGGGGGGTGTAGATCAGTTATGAACTAGAATCCAAAAGAGACAAAGACAAATGCACCCAAAAGGAATTTATCCACCAAAAATATACCACTTCTTCTAGCAACAAATTATATAAAAAAATATAATTTGGACAGCACGTACAAATAGGTTAGTTTTATGTATGACTTCAATAAAGATTGGACATTTTGAGGCAGAAGAAGATAAGAAGAAAGAAGAAAAGGGGTCGGAAGAACTTCTCAATTATTTTTCCCCTTTTTCTTCCTTGAACAAACAAAAGAAAGTTCAAAAATCAATCATATGATAGTTCCAAAAAAGAAAAAAAAAAATGGAAGGAAAGGGGTGTGCATGTCGTTAAGCCAGCGCCGCCTTGCGATTGGGTTTGTGTATGTCTGAATCTATATATATACTTGTGTACATATGTATAGTGACACCATAATATTCCAAAAACATGATGCAGAATTACAGAGGAAAGAGGGGTCTACTGGGAAGAAGAAGATGGAAATTGGAAAGGAAACAAAAGAGAATAAGGGGAGAGAGTTTTTTTTTTTTTTTTTTTTTTAACAGTTAGCTAGGAGAGTGGATCTGATGAATCATAGCCATTCGACGTATAAGGTTTTGGGGAAGATGACAGTGAACTTAACCGTGGCTTTAGTAGAATTTAACTGTATAGGTGACAGATGGTTGGTGAATTTACTGTCCAGCAATTTAGGGGAATGTAATTGTACTGGTAGTACTACTATATGTCACATCCTTTCGGACAAAAGGGTTTTTAACTTGCTAGTAGTAATTAGTTAATTACCTTGGTCAAAATTATTTGGAGTTCGCATTCATTTGGCGGTTTTGAATGATTCACGACAAACGTCTTTCACTTATGGTCCTTTTCAAATATGATAATTTGGTCATAATAGTATCTGAGTTTCCTTATTGTTTGTACTCGCTCCCTCGTGCCCTTAATATAAGACATTTTAATTTACTTAGGTTTTACCTAATATATAGTTTTAATTAATGAAAAAATTTTAAAAATATTTTTTAACAATCAAGAAAACACAACGAATGAGAAATATATTTTTAAAGTTTTTTTTATCACTTAAAAATATATACTATAGAAAACTTAAGACAAATCAAGATAACTTATAATAAAGATGAGAGGGAATACGAAGCGATCCTAATTATAAGGCAGCAAAGCTTTTAATTTCATCGGGTGCAATGCATGCATCCTCCATTTCTTAACTGATCCCACAGGGAAAAATATATGGTCAACATCTTATTTAGTGTTTTGGTTTAATTTTTTGTATGAGTTTGAGATGTAATTTAAAATGTATTTTGAGAGAAAATTTAAAAAGTTGTTTGAATAGATTTTTAATTAAAATAATAATTTTTTACCACCACCGCCCATCTCCACCACCTAATTTTTAAAATATTTTTAAAAAAATAAGTTAAAATGTTATTTGATTGAGTTTGTATTTAAGAGGTAAAATGAGACAAAAAAGCAAAATAAATGTTGGCCAAACAAGACCATAGTGTTTGCTTGTTCAATTATGCATGTCGTCTTCTCCTGTAATATGATGCTCCTCACGTCCCAATACAAAATAATTCACCTCGTTGAATTGTTGTTGTAATATTTTATTCAAAAAAATGCACTAATTGTTTAAAAGTGGAAAGAATATGATGCAATATCATTGGCACTTCATAATTAAGAGCCGTGCATTCAACGTGAGGCGATAGTGTTATGCACTTTAAGCCTCGTAAGCGTTTGAAGTCACCAAAGTAAGGTATGGTTATTGATATTATCACAATAAATAATGAGGCATAATTTCATTCAAATACGGTACTTAGAGTGGACCACTTTAAACGACCTTGTTAATTTTTAACCTGTTAAATCTTGATCACTGCTCGCCTAACAAGACTGCGCGTCTCGCGTCATATTTTTGCTTTGGGGATGTATGATAATTTTGTCCCTATCGTTCAAAACTTCAAATTTTATAGACTTGCGAACTCCTAAAGACTAATTAGTCTAGTGAATAAATTCAATATATATATATATATATTATTGTATTTTTTCCGCTCCTTAATATAATACATTTTTATTTTGTCTTAGGTTTCACATAGTACGTATTTTTAATTGACAAAAATCCTTAAAAATATATTTTCATGCTTGTTATATTTTCTTGATTGTTATGAAACATTTTTAAGATTTTTTTGTCAATTAAAAATAAGTATTAGATTAAACTTAGAATAAATCAAAATGTCTTATATTAAGAACCAGAGGGAGAATATAGTAGTATATCATTAGTCATTAAGTGTATGTATATTTATATTGTGATTGAATGCTGCAGTTAATATATATACTCGGTACGTAACACCAAAAAAAAATAAAATGTAACAGGTCAAGTAAGTTGGACATCGGGCAGCGGACACAGAGCCGGACATAAATGCGGGGGGAAAAAATTCGTACGGGCGGGGGGAAGCATATATATACTGTACTTGTTACCCTTCTCATCTTCCCCGAGTTCTTTCTCCTCCACAACAGAGAAACAGAGAAGTAAGGGAAAGGGATCCTTTTCAATGTTTCTGCGAAACTCTCTGACACCCTCCCCATGGCCTCGTTTTTTTATCCTTCAATCATAGTACCACGTGATCCATCACTAAGTAGTAAATATAGTTAGTACTCTCTCTTATCCTTTTTACACTATTTTTATAAGACTTTGTAACTTTGGGAAGGGGGGATTTAATTTGCATTGATCATTGTTAATCATACGATTAGGATCCTATAGATTAAGATATTGTTAATGATACTTGTCGCGTCAAGATGGTTTGTGAAACTTTTTCCTTCCGAGAGATCAAAGAGTTGATACGGCCTTCGTTGTAGCGGGTGAATTAGTGACTTTATCGTGAATATTAAGGTTTCTAACATTATCAGTGTAAAATGGTGGAGATTATTACAAAATTTTTAACATCAGAATTGGAGGTCGATAAATTATACTATATCCTTATTGGGCAATAGGATGAGGACTTAGGAATCTATGGAGGCTTGTATTCTATAATATGAGTTTAGAGTTAGATTGCTCACTTGAAACACGGATTTTTTTGTTTTTTTTTTTTGAGAAATACGTTTAAGGAATTAAATTTTGTAATCGGGAATTTTCAACTTTATATTTTATTTTATTTTCCACCAGTTTTAGTATGTTATAATATCTTGTTTTTGGGCTTTGATCTCTCTTGTTGGAAAAAAAAAAAAAAAAAGCATTACATTGGACCAAGAAAGAGGCTTCAAAATGACTTGACTTGTGCATGGTATACGAGACCTCTTACACAAAAAATTGGACCGTTGTGTTGAAACAATACTATATACTCCCTCCGTCCCATAATTATTGTCCAGTTTTACTAAAATGAAAGATTTTATTTTTGGTCAAACTTAATTATATTTTAGCTTAAATAACCGGATATACCCCTACATAAGTAATTGTTTAACAACTAAGATTTTATGGATAATGTTTTTTACTAAGGACAAATGTGTAACTTGATCCATAAAAAGTCAAATTGGACAATAATTTTGGGACAAAATTTTTTGGGTAAAGTGGACAATAATTATGGGACGGAGGGAGCATTTTTTTAATTATCATTATAGGTATACCAGATTATTACATTTATTTATTAAAATCTAAAAGAGTTCCAACATTTTTTTCACTCACCCGAAAAAAATTATAATGGTTGAATTACGATGTTATGGATGTTTATCATCCACATAATTTTATAATTTTTTACAATTAGGTCTTGGGCTCTCTTATAGTAAAAAATTAAAAAAATAAAAAAATTATATAATTTAAATTAATCATAACAGTAGTTTAAGAATGATAGATCAAATTCACACCTATTAAATCAAATTAAATTTATGTTTTTTAATTAGGGTCGAAGGAAGTATTATAAATAATAGTACCATGCATGTATGAGCAACCTGAGAGAAATTTAATTTACTAGTTACGGGGCAGAGTTATCAATGTACATGAGTAGAAAAATAAAAAACTAATTGTCTATTTATTTTATCAGTTGTTGTATATCTGTTTTTTCGGGGATCATGTTGAATATTGTTTTCTTAGTTCGTTAGGAGATCTTAGACTGTTTACAAACTTTTAACTGGATTTGTCAGAAATTCAAAGGTCGAACATCCTAATTCCTTAGAGAGATTTTTTTTCTACATAATACTAGTGATGTTTGGTTGCACAATGTGCGACCTTGACCCATTATATCTGTAGATCTTATAAATATTTGTATCTAAAAAAAAAATATTTTGTATTTGGGCCGATATATTTTAGAAATATTTGAAGAATTTAGAAATGTTTTATAAGTGTGATGTTTGTATTTGGCATAATAATAAATTGTATTTGGCCCGGTACGTTTTAGAAATGTTTGAAGATTTTAGAAATGTTTTATAAGTGTTACTTCTTAAATATAAATAAATTTGATCAAATATATGTCTTGAAGTAAATGCTAGACAAAATATAAAAATATCCTAATAAGTTTAAATATTAGTAAGATAATTTATTGATGTTCTCCATTAGTTGTGCCAAATCTATACTTAGTTTTGGAGATATATAATAGCTTTGTAGTTAGCTTCCTCCAACGGGTATACGCTTAATTGTTGGAACTATTTCTTCCAAAAGTTTATAGCTAGTAAAATATCAAAAATATGATTTTGAAACTGAAACTATTGATCAACAATATGAGAATGAAAATAATGTAAATTTGCATAGGTTTCAAGATATAGCAAAAAAGAACTCACCTTACCATGACAAATAAAAAAAACAAGAAAGTAAAAGATAGCCCATTAAAATTTGAGATTTTTTTTCTATAGGTAAAAATGATGTATAAAAACACAAATAAACGTAGAAACATCATTCCTTCCCTCTCCACCTCAAATTCTTAAAAGGCTTCCCCATAAATTAGTTAGAAGAAGCAATCTGAACTATTTATATGATGACTAAAAAAAAGTCCAAAAACCAAACCCAAAAAAGTATATTCTTGAAACCCTGAACACAAAAAAAATGCGCTTCATTTGCAAATAAAATAACAACAACAACAATAATAATAATAATAATAATAATAATAATAACAACAATTGGTCAATTGGGAGTGTGAAACAAAATCAAAAGCAATTAAACAAAGAAAAACCACACTTCATAACTGGCCATATACGAAAAAAAACCTGAGACTCCATAATTAAAAAAATGAAAACCACTCTAATTGAATGAAACATAAAAAAGAAATTTAAAAAACCACATTTTGTAATAAAAACCCAATTAATCAATTCAATCCAAACATAACTAAAATCATACAAAAATTCTAAGCTAACTAATCAAATAAGAAATCACATTATATTACCTAACAATGACTACGGTAGCTGTAACGGATAGACGCATAAAAATAATAATAATAATAGTATTCCTGAACGAGAAAAATAAAAAATAATAAAAGCCAAACCAATGATCTGTGGAAATAAAATCATTTAAATTTTAATACCTGTAATGCCACCATCACAACAACCGAAGCAAGATCAATGAGAATTTTTTTTTTCCTTTGTGTTTATATAGAGAGGTAAAGAGAATATTTTTTGAAGTTGAAATTTCATCCGATTAGGATGTAGTTGATCATCACTAATGAAAATATTGAACATGCTAATAGGAAAGGAGTATATTTCATCACATACTCTCAATTGATGATTGATGAAGAATTTATTTATTTTTAATTGTGGAGAGGGGATTTATTAGGGAGTCGATTGTCGTGAAGATGGGGATGAGGATTTTTTATGAACCCGTGGTATTTTTTTTTTGGCGAAAATAGGAGGTGGAGGTGAATTTAGACTGCATTTGCCTTTTAAGTCTAGAAGATGTGAAAATAAAAATTTATTTTAGAAATATGATGTGGAAATGCCACATGGCAAATGGTGGTGCTTTATCTTAAATGTGGTTTTTGTTTCAAATATAGAAAGATTTATAGAAGTGGCCTCAATAGTGGTCTTTTTTTGGGTTTAAAAAAAATTGTATAATCAAAATCAATTAGTACGACATTTGTGCCTAATAACAAACTGATATTTTTATAACAACATTCCTATTTAGCACTCCATCTGGAGTATTAGTTTGACTAAACTTAATTTTGAAATGTTCTTTATCGATATGATCGAATGAAAATTAATTCTCCCTCCGCGCCACAAAAATATTTCATATTGAGTTTTGAATTTTGTACTGTTTCTCAAGTTAATTGACGAATGAGTACATATGATTTTCATCTTCACACTACCGTCATAAATGAAAGTAGAAAAAATTCAGAAAATTTACAAGTGGTGGCTGCAATTTTCCGTATATTTTCTGTCGACCCCGGGAATTTTCCGTATATACTCACTCCTCAGTCCTGGTTTCGATTCTGAGAGCTTCACCTTTCAGTCTTCCTTACCATTTTATAGACAGCCATCAGTGAGTGAAACACAGGGAACACATATTTGGAAATGGCAAACCCGAAATCTTTAATTCCGTTCTTCTTGATGTTAACGATTCTGGCGGCCTTTCTGTTGTGCTCCACATCGGCATCGACGGACCCGGCGGATTCCGACGACGAGGCCGAAGCTGAAGCTGCAGCTGCCCAATTCGTGAAGAAGACTATTGATTCTCATTCCATCGTTATCTTCTCCAAATCTTATTGCCCGTAAATCTCTCTCTGGGGCTCTAATTTAATTCATTTGCTAATTGGCTTTTGTGATTGATGTTTTATTTTGCGCGTTTAGTCCTGAATCTATTCCAAGATGTTTTCTTTCCGATGTTTGGATTCCTCTTCATGAAAGTCATACTTGTTTTGGTACTTTTTCTTTTTAAATATTGGGCGATCTGTTCAATTTGTGAGATTTTGAGATTACTAATCAAAGCTGTTTGTCTGATGTGCGATGGCTGACCAAAAAAATTGAAAACTTTGAGTGAGCAACGTACGTAACCTAGATCAAAATGATTTCTTTGGGTAGTAACTAGGAAATGAAGCTTGATAAATGTGAGGGAGTAGGATTAACATGATTCCACATTTGTCGATTGACAAGTTTGTTGCTTCTGTAATTTGTAGACAGGTGTTTTATTCTAGAAGTAGAAAACTTTTTGCCACCAGTGATGTACATTTGTAGACGGGTGTTTTACTCTTCGAGTTACCCCAGTCTGCCTTGTATATTTTGAAACAGGATGTAAATTGTATCCTGAGTCGGTCGTGCATACCTGTTTAAGGCTCAAAGCCGGCCTGAGTTTCTCTTTTTTCCTTTCAAGTGGTGTCATACTAGTAATTAGGCAGGTTCTAATATATATGTGATAGAAAGAAGTTTTGTTGCCACTCATCTGTAGTTGTCAAGAATAAATATGTTACACGAACAAAAACTTAAACTTCCACATGCGTAGAGTATGTTATGTGTTTGCTTTTTGTAATGACACGCTGTTTCCAATTAAAATGCAGATACTGTAGGAGGGCCAAAGGTGTCTTCAAAGAGTTGGAGCAAAAACCACATGTTGTTGAGCTTGATGAGAGAGGTATCATTGCATTGATGTTATGTCCTCTTTTTGCTACTGGATTTTCTTGTTGATGTTGTTTTAGTTTCACTATTTCCCAGTTGAATCTGCATTATTTGGATTAGATTTATCTTATGAATTATCTTCAGGAGCTCTGCCCCTAGTCAGATTTGCTCTTCCTTTTAGTTTAAATATGCTTAAAGCATCTGCTGTAGAAATGATGATGTATTTACGTTCTTCTTGAGCACAAATATTTTGACCTTTCTTCCCTTTTGAAATTCATAACCATTCGTTTGTTGCTTTTGGAATTGTAAGATACAACTTTTGTTGCAACGATTACAAATCGATGCAAAGTTTATCCTTTGCTCATCTGATAGTTTGGGATTCTTTTCCTTTTATTTTGATTTTTGAGAACTTGAAGGCTGGAGGAAATATGGTTTAGGAAGCGGGACTTCTGCTGGTTTATGTAATGAAAGAAATAAATCTTTTTGTGGGTTTATGTCTATTTCTCAATCTTTATAACGCTTTCTGAGCTGAGGCACGTGGAGCCTATGTTATAGGCCGACAAGCCAACACATTTAGTTTGGGAATTGGGTTCGAGGTGAGAACCACAGCTGATATAAGCTCTGTTGTTTCACATGAATATCTAGTTTTCACGGGGATTGCGACCTTATGAAAGAACAACCAGCACATTAATTGGAACTTTTGCCTATGTTGGGAGATGAGCAACTGTTTTGGACTCCCCTTGATTTATTTGGTTTTGTTACTCACCCCTCTAACCACACTCTCTCTTTCCTGAGCAGCTGATGGGTGGTATATACAAAATGCTGTAAGCAAAGTTGTCGGAAGGCGTACTGTTCCGCAAGTTTTTATCAATGGAAAGCACATTGGAGGTTCCGATGGTACTTGAACAAACTTATTGACTATTCTCTTGTTGTACATGTTCTCCAAGATCTCTGTCCTGACACAACCTTATTTTTGCAGACACTGTTGATGCATATGAAAGTGGAGAACTAGCTAAACTTTTTGGCATCACTACCCACAGGGATGATCTCTGAGCATAGGATGTTGTAACTTGTATCATTGTTGCCACATGGCCGAAGGATAGGAAACTGGATAAAAATGTATGATTCAAAAGTTTTTGTACGCATCAAGTTCTCAGACTTTGTCGCTCATCATAGTAATCTAATTTAATTTTCCCCATGATTTGATCTTTTGGAACCTGTTTTGTTCAAACATGCCTTGTTATACATCATAACCTTTCTGTTCAATGGTGATAACTGCAGTGAGTTTACAACTATTAATTCAGAAACATAGGAGCCCCTGAATGGAGAAAACTGAGAAGGGTATTATTATAGACAAAAGGTGAAAAAGGATAAATAAACTCAAACGGGCACATTACTGTAGACAAAAGTTGAAAAAGGATAAATAATGGATTACTTTGTAAGGCCATCTCTTCTAAGCAACGTACTTTGGTGATTTGAACCTAAGTCATGAATTGGCTCTAAATGGTTAAACAAACCAGAATTTGAACCTAAGTCATGAATTGGCTATAAATGGTTAAACAAACCAGAAAACTGCCGAAGTTAGGGAGCTAATCTCTGGTTACATATAACAATTGTACAACAGGCAGCTACTATTGAAGTCTATTCATCTAAGCTCTTAGATTTTTTTTCGACTTCCAGTTCTTCCAAGAATTTATCTAACTCTTCGAAGGCGAACCAGTCCTCTTTCATCTATCAATTTGCATTCGAAAAAAGTGTTACTCAAGCATGAAGACAGACAAGTAAAAAATGAAATCTAAATTCTTATGATCTTCAGATGTATATAACATATAAACTCACAAAGTAAGGGTAGCCCTCGGAACCACTAATGCTAAAATCTTCCGGAGCATTCTCTATGAATAAGCGGATATAATACAAAACAAAACTTCCACACTCTTCACCATTTCTCTGTTGCGGAATCTGAAACAGAAATCATTTGTCAACTGAATCAGTAAAATAACAACCTTATCACTTGGTTAAGAAAAAAAAGGCTCAAAACAACTTGCCTTAGGAATCAGAAAAGGGATTTTTTGAATGGATTCCGTAGTTACCGGTATTTGGTAAGAGTGATATACGTCCAAAATAAACCTTATCAAGAGACAAAGTTAGAAAGGAATGACATTGATACGAAGTACTGTCATCCACATGTTTATTTGTGTGGAAGAGTTCATAGGTGCAGTGGCTTACTTTCTTATTCCAGGTTCAAGTCTCCTAGGATTTGTTTCTTGGAGGGAATCCAACAACAACATGCAAGGAGATACAGTTTGGAGGGTCTTACCAAAGTTGCATAAGATCAAAAGACTCCAGTGAGACCTACAATTTAAAACCTCAATTAACAGAAAGTTCAATTCTCCAATTAAAGAAACCACCTAGGAAAAATACATACCACAACACAATGGGAACCAAAACATATTTCTTGGAGAATATATCTTTCTTCTTAACCCAATTTAACACCCTTTCTCTTGAAGGTTTCTTGGAGTAAAGGTGAAACCACAAGCTATCGATGCGATAGAACGATTTCCTTCTCTCTCCAGGACAAGTGCTCCATACATGCCTGCATAACTTAGTACCCATAAATAACAGAATGACAAAACATGAAATTGTATCAAAGCAAAAGGAAGCAAAGAACTCACTCCATGAAATCCTCAAATGTTTTGGAGTCTAACTTCCCGAGTAGAGAGGAATTTATGTGACCTCTTCTTTGTCCACGAACTCGCAAGCTTCGAAAAGAGGAACGGTTTGCCCCGGTAGAATTTGAAATACTCACATCAGGTATTGATTTGCCTCGGCCCTGATATACATTATCATTTGTACTTGGGAGCCCTTGGATACCTGGATTGTTTGTCTCTGGAAGTCCCTTATTCCTCCAGCCCGCTGGATAAGGAATACTAAATGATTATTAGTCAGAAAACAGCAATTAAGCCTTTATCCTAGCATGTAGCATTGGCTATATAAATCCTATATCGTAAGTCTTAATCATGTTTTATCTTAACAGAATTTATTAGATGGTCCAAAACATGAAATATGGCAAATTGCCATGCCAGCTGTTGACCTAACCAAGCCTGAAATATTCGGCTTGAGCTGACCATGCTATTGATATTTAATATAGGTGGAGTCAAATGAACAATTCTTAGGGTCACCTTTTGTACCATGACTCTGCTGCATGATGGGATTCGATGAATTAGTGTATGATCGTAATAGGAAAAGAGTAAACAAAGGGTGTCTAAACTGAATTATGTACTACATATAGGAACAACAGTTCATTAAACCTTTTAACACTGCTGTAACTTGTATATCAATCATTGGAGACCCTTATTCCCTACACCAGTCTTTATGTTTTAATTTAAGATCCAGGCCTCAATAAATCAGTTTCATCTTACATCATCACCACTATTATACTACAAATGTAACCTGCTTTTTCCTCTTCAAGATTTTATTCGGACCTCTAGCGAATAAGGATAGATTAAGACCTTTCTACATCAAAAGAGTTCAAGAATAGGAAAGCTCCACTAATTAAGACAGATCATGCAAAACTGAATGACACCAAACCAGTGGCAAAGAAATCTTTAGTCAGAATCTAAACCTTAGGCAGTTTCCTTCACCACACTGAGAGAATTATAAAAATAGTCAAATTCACTAATTAAAAATTTAAGATATCTAAATCAGATCATTCATGTAAAAGAAAATAATGACACTGAAGGTTCAACCTAATATGATTGGTTTAGCTGATCTGCGCTTGCGGGGGACAATTCCAAAATTGAAACTTGTACTCTCTCCCTGCGAATTTTCATCCGTTTGCTGCGCAGATCCGTCTTCAGTAGATCTAGCTGAATAACAACAGATTCACTATAAGCAGTTCGATAATTAACAAGTTCCCATCAGGAAAAACCCACAAAGAAAAGAATAGAACTACATAGTTGTTATCAAACCAACTCAGACCTTATCCATTTTAACAATAACAACAATCTCTTGTAGCACTTTAACTTCAAATCGAAGATCAAAATGTGAAAATCACAGAATCATTAATTCAAGTAGCATCTACCATCATTACTCCATAACTCAACCAGAAAATCACACCGAAATAAAAGTTTCAATCTTTCGCTTAAATAGTCTTTTTCGAGCTACAGAATTGAATCAGGGAAATGGGTTCTGTTCTCCCCCACCCCGGGTTACTTTTAGATCATTTTGTTCTTAAACGACACCAAAACATGTACCAAAGCCAACAAAACTGCTAAAACCAAGTCGGAAACAAAAAGAAAAAGAAACCGATAGGTTTAGAACTCCCATGATCAAAGCTTGAGAACAAACTAATCCACTGAAACATCCACATTGAAGAAAAAGAACAAAACTTTACAATTCTATTAAGATACAAACATGCCTGGGTAAATGTAGGACAGATGAGCTGCAAATTTAACAACAGGAAAAACAAAAATCAGACACTCACCTAGCTTTATGGCGGGAAGACCCATAACTATACTGTAGTAGTTTGATCCGGGATCCAAACTTGCAGAATTGGGAATTGACATTGAAGGGTTTTTGGTTTTCTCTTCCAAATGGGTTATAGAATTTCAGAGAATCAGTGGATTGTTTGCAAATCGGTCCGTTTTTCTCCCAATATAGTTAAGAGTGAGTGGATTTAATGGTGGGTTGGCGGACTAGTTTACATTTGGAATAATTTGAGTGGACTTTTTCATTTTTATTTTATATATACTAGAAGTAATAAAAATTTGCAAATTCTCAATTAATGGCGTGAAACTGTGAATAATTAATATCAGTAATTTAACAATGACATGTTAGGTACTTCGAATAATTGCGAAAAAATTTGTCCAAATATTAATGAAGAAGTATTGACCATGTATGAAGAAAATGTCACACGCTAATAATGAAGAAGTTTCTTCTTTAATAATCTTGAAATTTATTGTCGGTTTAAGCTCTTATTGAACCGAAGTATTAACATGTGTTCTACGTTAACAAATCTCTTAAATTTGCCACTAAACATGGTTATGTGTTCTTCCTGCTTTTTTTTTTCCCCTTTCCTTTTTATATTTTGTTTTGATTACATAACAAGGGAGGGGGAAATGGTAGAGTATTCGAACCAAACTTTGAAACACATCGTTGGTGATCTTTAAGACAAGTTTAATGGTTAGGCTTTTTTTTCTAATAACTACTATAAAATGTTGATAAAAATAAATAAAAATTTAAACTAGACAATTATATTAGCATTGAGAGAATGATATTTTAATAAACATTAAATAATTAGAATTGAGGGAATAGTATTTTTTTAGTAAAGACAACTTTTTTAACAACATTTTCATATTGGTTATTGGATAATCTTATTCATTATTTATTTTTGTACTCCCAAACCAAAATCCGTTCCACTAGAATTTTATCCTAAAATTACAAGTTTAAATTGGACAATTACTTCTAAAAGAACGATTAAATTTATCTTAGGCCCAATGAGTAGAATATATTTTGGACCAAAATCGAAGACCAAATAAATTGAACCATGTACAGTAATCTTTTCTTTTTGTTGGATACACATTACAATCCAATCCAGAATCGGTTCCTATATAAATATTCTATAGAATAGAAGAGATACGATATTGATTCCCACGTAATTGAAATTAGCAACCAAAATGTGAAGGACTAAAATTTCTATTTTCTAAATGTGAGGGGTTAATAGTTGATTTCCACGTAATTGGAATTAGCAACCAAAAAAAAAATTAAAAATTTAGCAACCAAAAATACCAAATACTACTGAATTGTTTTTCGCAGTTCACAAATTACTCACTTACAGTTCGTTTTAGACAATTTTACCCTTAAACCTTTACCTAATTATAAAACCTACTCAAAATATATTTATCATATAATTTTAATATAATATCTGGTGCATTCTTTATTTGAATATAACAAATAAGTTAAAATAATGATTAAAAACTTATTATACAAAATTTCTACATTTAATCTACACTAATTATTAAAATAAATTAATTATATTTAATAAATTCAATTAAATTAAAAATATTATTAAATTAGTAAATATAACACAAAAAATAAAATTTAAAGTAAATATAAAAAAATAATAAAAATTACACAAAAAAATTAAAGGTGGCCGGTTGTCGGGCCGGTCACCTTTTGAAGGTTGGCCGGTTTATTCACCGGCCAACCGGGAAGAAGTGACCACTCGATGGGTCGGCCATTTCTTCTCGATTGGCTAATGAGTAAACCGCCAACCTTCAAAAGGTGACCGGCATGACCGGCCACCTTTACATTTTTTTTTTTTCCTCAATTTTTTTGTGTTATTTTCATATTATTTTTTTATCATTATTTTTTTATATAATTACTTTAATTTTATATTTTGTGTAATTAGTGTATGTTGGATTAAAAAAAAAAGTTTGGAGTAAAATTGTCCAAAATGAACAGTAGATGAGTAATTTCTGAACTGCTAAAAGTAACACGCAAAATACTAATGGAGGAAAAAAAGAGCAAGAAAACTGAAGAAGGCGGAGAAACTCCACGACACAGAGAAGTTGAGATGACGAAGAAGAAGAAGAGAACTGCAGAAAAGTTCTGTAAAATTAAGAGCAAAAATCACTCCCGGAATCATCCAATTCTAGCCGTTCGAAACCCAGAACCCAATACTCTGTTCGCTCTAATTCTGGCAGCTCTTCATTCATCCGACTCTTCTTCCAGTAGTTCCCACCTCATCAGCCTCTGTTTGAATCGACTCCGACGTTCCCTTCCCCATAATGCATTCCCCACCGCCATCCTCTCCTTGCTTCCTATCCTTCTCAAATCCGAGTAATATTACTTTTTCTCCTTTGCCACCTTTATTCCTTATTGTTTCGTGAATATCTGTTTATGAAGATGTATTTTAGTTTCCTTCATATCTTTTATCTGTTCATTATTGGTTTTGGGTCTTCTGTATTGTGGGTTTAGGGTAGTTTTTTTTTTTAATTTTTTTATTGTATTTCAAAGCTACCAATTTTGTGTGAAGGTTGTCCTTTTTGCAAGTTTCCTCCACTTATTGTAACTTCTGTGCACTAGTGTTTATGGTAGTTTTGTGTTTTTCTTGATTGGGATTTAGGAATTGTGGGTAGAAAAAGAAAAGGGATGGATTCTTTGGATTTGATTGGAATTCAGCTCTGTGAATCGTGCCATTTTGAGTATTATAACTTGTTACTGATTGTTGGGTTTTCGCTGGGCTGTGTTGTAGGTGTGATAACATTGCGCGTAAAGCAGTTGAACTTGTTGGGGCTGCATCACTGGTATCGCTTGAAATGAATGAACTGATTGCTTTAGAAGATGGAATAATAGTAGGCTTGATCAGCTTGATTGAAAGTTCGGCAAGGGGTTTGTCAATGGCTGCCTGTCATGCCGTGCTGGATCTTTCCACCACTTTGGTTGGCCGGTTAAGGCTACTGGAGTTTTCAGTGCTTGAGAAACTTCTGTGAGTACAATTTCATTTTTATCTACATTGCTTTTTGTCACTATGTTAAACTTGTTTGTTAGGGCATCGAATTAAAATTTTATCCTCATTTGGATTTGTGGGCTATGTTAATTTTTATTATGATGAGTCACTTATATGCTTATGACAGGCTTCAAGAAACTTGGTTGTTTGGCGTCAAAGGGTCTTTGACTAGATAGAAGAGAAAACTAATCATCATTAATTTAAAATTGAACTTTGTTGGACCCTTTGTATGACAGAACATTATTTGTTGCCGCCAAGGAAGTTCATGTGATTGAAAGTAGTGTAGCCATATGAATTGTTGCATTACTGATTCTTACCACCTTTGTTTATTTGTTTTTATTTGTTCAAACATATTTTGTACTTTCGCCTTTTGATTATTGCAAATGTGTTTATGATTTAACTATCCTATAGTGTTTCTTTTAATCAGGCACAAATGTCATTGCCTGCAGTGATTTGTCTGTCTTGCAATGTGAAGGACAATGTGAGCTGTTCTAGAATAGTTTTTGAGAATGAAGATTCATCCATATTGCTGCTTGAAGCTACTCTTCTTTTGATAAACTCCTGCTCTATTAAGCAGCTAGAGGAAATCCCTAAAAACCTTTCTGAAAACCTAGTCGTTCACCTGAAAGGAATGTGGGAAAAAGTACACACCTTCATGTTATGTGATACGTGGAGCTGCTTAGGAGACAATTTTGTAAGCAATATCCGAGCAAATGATATGGCTCAAAGTATATTCAGGCTATGCATGGATGATTATCAATGTGGAGAACATCCAAATGTTAAACAAATCAAGGAAAGCATTTTCGATTTGGGAAAGATGAATTTTGAACAATTTATATTTGACTACTGGGAGGCATCGCCACTTCTCCTTAGAGGCACATCAAAGGCTTCACTGCCGGAAGATTATATTTTCAGATCTCTTGCTAAAGCTTTTCAGTCAAGGGAGATGCCTTCTTTCATTCCTCCCATGTTAGAGAATCTCACTTCTTGTCCACCTATTGCTTCAGACAAACTTGATATTTTTCATTTCTTAGAGGAGGTTGGGGATCATATTGGTTGTCCAATAATCTACGATCAGGATATTCGTGTGGTTAAAACACACCACTCTAAGGGGGAGCTGCATTATTTTGTGCAGAAATTTAGCTCTTGTAGCTCCCAGGATCCCCATATTCTCCATGTTAACGAGATACGAAAGTGCAAGGAAGCTTATAATGATGGGTATACAATTGCTCTGCGTGGTATGGAATTTCGTTTTAAAAATATAGCTACTATTGCAGATGGGTTAGCATCTCTGTTCGGTCAACCATCTGCAGGTGTGAATATGTACCTAACACCTCCAGATTCTCAAGGTTTATCTCGTCATAGTGATGACCATTGTGTGTTTGTTTGCCAACTTAGTGGAACAAAGGAGTGGAAAATATTTCCTCGATCCAGGGTGCATTTGCCTCGCTTATACGAATCTAAATATAGTCCCGAGGTTGAGAATGAACCGCTAGGTGGAAGCGAGCATTTCCTGTTGAAAGAAGGTGATGTTCTATATATTCCTAGGGGGTTTCCTCATGAAGCCCGTACAACCATGGATGAAGACGGATCTGGATTCTCTTTACATCTGACTCTTGCTATTGAGATTGAGCCGCCTTTTGAGTAAGTGATTGCCTGCAACATAATTATGAATACTAATCCAATTGATCATGGGGCACCAACTACTTCTAATTTGTTTTCTAACGTTTTGTTACGAATGCCGTTTATATTTGAAATCTTAATCTAAAGCTTGATCTATTTCTCCTGAACAAGTCCAAATCCGTTATCATGCATGGAAATTGGTCCAAAAATTTTATCTGAATCACTTGGGCAATATATTGATTGTTTTAACAAACTGGATAACTCCACGGGGCCAACAATTATGCAAGTGAAATTTTACTTCCCTTTTACGCAATTAGTTTCCGAGAATCTTTTTTTGCTAAGATGTCAAATGTAATTGAAAAGGAAAGATTACTGATTGATTGATGGAGTTTCTTCTTTTAAAATGATTGTACCTCCAGTTTTTCAACAAAGTAACTTTTGATTAATATATGCCTCTGCTGAAACCTGAAGTTCCTTTATCTGTAGGAATTAGTCCTCGCGCAGTGAAGTTTTCTATTTCTTCACCTCATGTAAGGAACATATAGTGTAGTCAGTCTGCACATTTAATACTTTTACCTGTTAAGTTTTTCCACTATTCCTTGGTTCGGGGTGTGTGTTGGTCTATAACCGATGGGCTTTATGTAAATTCTGTGGTTTCTTTGGGTTCAATTCCTTTCCTCTAGTTTTTACCCTACATATTCATGACTCTGCACTAACACTGCTCGACATTTGCACCGACTATCTTCCACCATTATCTTCTGCCTTTGTTGATTTTAGTGCACCCCCAGTTTACTGCTGAAATTTATGATTGATTTGGACATCTCAAATTTTCTTTTTTTGTTTGATATGAAGAAGGGTTGTTGTTGTTTGACATGAAATGTTATTGGACTATTGACCATCATATCATGTTGATCACACGTGCTCTGCATCCAGATGCACCAATAATGTTCCATGACTTGAGTTCACATCAAAGAAATTCAATCACTAATGTCTTCACGTTTGAGTTTTTGGAGTTGCATGCAATGATTTTACACTTACTAATTTATTGCATTATATTTTAGCTTTCCAAACATACATTGAATTCTTTCGACATTGATCAACTTTTTGTTTTCATTGAATTGCTTTTATGTCAGATGGGAAGGTTTTGTCCATGTTGCACTCAATCATTGGAGGAGAAAACATAGAGAGTTCCATCAACCATCCAATGGCTCAACTTCTCTAAATATGCATGTTATGTCAGTCAACCTACTGCATGTTGCAGTCATGTTGATTGGTGAAATTGACCCTACATTTCGCAAGGCTTGCCTGATTGGGCAGACTTCATTGTCAACTGTTACTGAGCGATCAATTGCTTTGAATCAGAGAGGGATTTTCCAACATCTAATCAGTAGGATCAATGATGAGTCGAAGTTTGCAGATCTGGAGTATTTGGAAATGGCTGTTCAAAAGCATGAAAACCTCTTTCAGCGACTACAATGGCTGCAGCATCTTAGCAAGGAGGGGGAAATGCTTGAATCACAGGAATCAAGTATCTTTGCAGTGGATCGAAGCTACGTTTTGCAGTTTTGCAGTCTTCATAAGCACACTCTAAAAGGTGCATTCTTGGAAGTTAAATCCAAATTCTGCGAAGAAATTGTAGTGGAGGATGTTGAGCAAGAATATAAGATGCTCCTTGATAGATACAAGAAGGTAAGAAGGCAGTATACTGAAGGGATGCTTTCATTACATCTAACTAGTGATTAAAGGTGATGTAAATTTTTTAGGGAAACTTAGGAATGAATTTCTCCATGTTTTGAGTCGCTGTCTGTCCTCGGGGTAAATATAGTTCCAAAAAGTTTTGGCTATTAGTTGCCGGTGGCATACTTGTTTGCAAATTTTAAAAACTGAGAGATTTTGAAGAATAGTAGCTTTGAGAGTTAGTTTTCTTGCTGCTTACTGGATCTCAGAAAGAATCAGGCAACACATATTTTGCATCTCTATTGAGGTTATCCTCTCTTCCTATAAAAACAATGTATTACACAGTGATATTACAGTATCCAATAATCTAGATTTGATCTCCCATGTCTCTTATTCTTACTTTGCTATATCCACATCTAGTTGTTCAAATGATAAGTACGTGTGTTTATTGGTGAATCACTATTGTCACGGATGTGTGGGTGTTGGTGTAGGATGAGTAGTCGGCCCAGGATGCTTGGGTGTTGGTGTAGGATGAGTAGTCGCCCCATGATAATCGATAGTGTAGACAATCTCCTCGTCATTCATGTTGCTTGAATTTTGAGTTTCAGGGAAATATGCATTGGAGTAGCTGCTTGTAAGTTTCGCTCCATGCCCAGCAACCTGCTCTGCCTTGTCAAAAGTAAGGCCCTGCAATTGCATATACAGCATGTAATCTTCACAGTGTTATTGAGCCTTTAGGAGAACGCATTGTAAGATGAAGAGCTAAAATATTAAATCGTCATCTTCTGTTTGCATTATGGTTTGTCATATGAATGTTTGCATTTTGCATAGGAAGGAAGTTTTCAGTACTGTACCTTAACTTGTTGTACTCCTTTCGGGCCATGGTAAGAACGCCCTTCGCTGATGGATCGCCTTCCTGGCCGAAGAGCCAAAGAAGCCGAAGCAGGATTCATTGCATCCATGGAAACCAAAATGATCACCATTATTAAAAAGAAGTTGGAAAAGAAGACTGAAGACCTCATAACTGCAAAAGATGTTGCTGCACAATATTTCCGGGTCTTTTGGTGGTCAAAGAGGAAAAGGCCACCATATAAATAGAAGTTCTCACTGGCAAATTGGCAACTAAGAGGTAAGGAAGGGGAAAAAAAGGGTTGGGGTGAAAAATGAATGAATTATTGAAAGGCGGGGGGGGGGGGCAAGGGGAAAACATCAGGTATGATTAGCCCATGCTGATGGTTTCTTATGCTTTATTTGAAAGACAAGACCAATTTAGACCAATCCAGGAAAAATCTATGAATTCTGTGTTGCTATGACTGTTTACCAGTCAAATCTTTGTTTTTTGCATGCGCCAAAATTTGGTAACGTGGATGCCTCCCTTCAAGATTTCTTATCCACATAAAAATTCCCAGCCCTCTATTTTTGGCCCTAATTCATGTGAGCTTTGTCAATGTATCATCAGCCATTCTTGCTACAGTTCCTCTGCCATTGTCTGCGTTAAGATTATTGTACTGATTACATAGAAGTTGATCAGTACTTAACTAATCCCAGGTTCAAGCTCGAACAATGTTAATAACAACATAATCGGAAGTATGTACGATAAACAAGCGAAGTTCATTCTGGCTATCGAGGATCCAATCTCATGGAAGAGAGGAGAATTATGAACCCAAACATAATACTCTCTCCGGTCTTTTATATAAAGTATTTTAATTTATTTTAATTTTCGCCTAATATGTATTTTTAATTAATCAAAAAAAAATTAAAAAATATATTTTTATATTTTTTTTCTCTTAATTGTTATAAAATATTTTTAAGATTTTTTTATCAACGTGAAATTTGAACAAAATTAAAATGCCTTAGGATTTGGTATATTAACAAATGTACTACTACTTCACTCCAATTTTTCCAAGTCTACAACTTTTTATTTTGTTTCTCACAAGTCCAAATAAGCTTTGGGCCCAATGAGGATTTGGACCCTGAACGAAGCCTAAATGATTTGAACCACTCAACCCACTTATTTTCACCCCACTACTACGTATAAAATAGAGATGCGATGTTGTTCTTGGAAAGTTAGATTAGAAGACTAGAACCAGCGAAAAGGTAACCAAAAAAAAAAAAGAAAAAAGCACAGCGAATACTCTGCTCGACTTCAATTTCCTGTTTAATTTTTTTCTTTTCCCCATCGAATTAGGGATTGTTTTGGCGGTGCTGTTTAGTATTCCTAGTAGAATTTTACTTATATATATTTTTTTCATATATACCGTGCGATCTGAACGGCGATTAGAGTTAAAATAGTCTTGTCGATTAAATTTAACGAAGGAGGGATGTCGTGGGAGATTGATCTCAGCCGACCTGACAATAATTATGAGACGGAGGAAGTACTTAAAATGCGTGCAAGATTCGCGAAGTGTGCTGGTTATGACCCTAAACCTTTGGTAAATTGAAGGAGATCGCAAAGGAATATTAATCTATTCTATAACTAAGACAAGCCCAAGACAAAAAAATAAAGCATCTCCCTTTGCGACTCCTAGGACTCATTGTCTTAATTTTAAGTTTTTTAAATGGAAAAAATTTATCATTAACTCCCATAAAATTGGGGTTATCCTTAATTAAACAGTTATTAAACCCTAGAAAATTGGAATAGCCATTAATTGATGCCTCTAATAACTATTATATTAACCAGTTAACTTTTAAACTTTTCTTAATATGGTAATCATGCAAAACAAATAGGAAACAAATTTCCTAATGTAATCATGGAAAACAGATTGACAACAAATTCCCTCAGTAGCAGTGAAATTGAAAAACAAATAGACAGAAAAATGTTAAAAGAAAAACATTTGTATACCAAATATTCGTAAATTTAATTTTATATTTAGAATTTTTTCCATTAAAAAAAAAAATTCGGCCACGGAACACTAAGGCATCATGTTTAGAACAGTAATATCATCTTTCACTGTTACTATTTTTTTTAATCTTGTCCGTATGGGATCTACTGGAGTGTCATTCGATTTCAATAAGATAAATGGCATGTGTTCAAGTTTCTCTTTCTTACATTTAATCAGTTTTCATCATTTACCAAAGTTTGTGCAAGACAAATGAGAACACAATCTCTTATTGAAGAAATATGTAAGGGTTCTATAAGTAAGAAGGTTAATGCTAAGAATTTTATTTTATTTTATTTTTTTAATGTTTTTCAGCTTAAATGTACTTTAAATCAAAGGGGGTAGTGTTATAGCCATGAATTGAAATGTAGTATTGATGTTTTTGAGTTGGGCATAAAAGTGAAAGGAATTTGAATAATTCGATTTGTGATCAAAATAAATTTTCAAGTGATTTTATCAGTCTTGCTCATAGACGATGATCCCTACCCCTGGTGCTCAATAGGTTGCATCAAGTGAAGAAATCGAGCATGATAAAATTGATATCCAGTATAATGTTAGTTAGATTTATGATTCAAACTGAACTCTTACACAATAAAATTAATCAAAATACGAAAGCAGTTTACATTATGCCACAGATTCATAAGGTAGAGTTTTACCTCTCCCGGGAAACATACGTGTTGCACTACTAGTACCTAGTAGGAAGCTGTAGTAAAACGACCGGGAAATAAATGGAAAACCCTAAGAATCACTCTTAGGGGTCCTTTGGCGTCACACTGTAGGAATCCTAGGGCTAGCTGATCCAAGGGGTCTAGGCTTTTCTGCAGGAATTTTATTACTGGAAAACTGACTTTAGGGGAGTAGAATATTTATAGGCATATAAGCCAAAACCAGAGACAACTAGTAATCACCTTCTAGTTTCCTATTTAGACCACCCCTAACCGATTTAAACAATGACACAACCTGATATTCCAGTAATTCTCCAGGATAGCAAAATCATTGAAAGATTCTTATTCTAATGATTGCTGAAAACAAAGTAACCAGATTTCCAACTTTATTACTTGAGAACTTAATTAAGCTATTGAACTTAATAGCAGAATTATGAATGCATACCCAAAACAAATACTAAAAGCACAAACTCCTGAACAATTCAGGAACATACTGCGAAAAAGTGCAAAGCCATGCCTCCAGACAAATATATCCCAAAACTAAAAGCTTAAATTTGCCCATATAAGATCTCCTTAAAGAGTCATAAGCACAAAAGAGAATAAAAAGTTGATCTCTAACTAGAATTTGCCCATTACAATATCCATCCACTTATACAAACGTCCTTCAGAAGCCTCAGTTCATGAAATCTGCTTCTACCAGGAAGTGATCCTTCGGTAGTATTCTTCTACTTCCTCAGAGGCAATCAGCATACGCCCATTAGGTCCTACATGATAAACTTTTAAACAGAAAAAAAGCATATCGTCAGAAAAGAAAAATAGATGGACCTCCCAATCACCAGATTAATAGAAACAAGTATGGAAACAACAGGGGTAGACAACAGACATACCACTAAAGAAACGATCACTTTCATCACCAGATCTAACAGTATCAATTGCAGAAAGGCACATCGCGCGCCCGGCCAACCCTTTGGCTTCAGCAAAAGACAGATGGTAACGATACCTACACACAAACTAAGATCAGTATTTCGCTAAAAAAGTCCGCACAAAAAGGACAAGAAAATTACTTAATCATATCATATCACACCCTCGACATTTCGACAAGAACAAAGGAAAATGAGTCATGCCTGAGTTCCACACTAATAAAGGCTGATTCTGATCCACGTCCAATGGCCGTAAAATTTGATTTAAGCAGCTTTCCCTTGTCATTCATGGCGTACAAGCTAGGAACCTACATGAAGACGTAAAACTCATGATACATGAGAATAAGAGGGCCGGATCAAAATCTTTGAAACTAATCCGAAAAGGAAGAATAGTAACAATACCTGTCCATCCCACCCTACAATCATTGACTCTGACAACCCCTCCTCCTCTTGGCAAGAAGACAGAAAGTCAACCATTGACTGCGACGCAGCTTCAAGGGAAGTGCTCCCCTCCGAACATCCATGCAAAGAGCACTAAGATAGACAACAAACCTATTAAACCTTCTAGCCATGAACATAGGGAGACATACATTGTTGAAGGTACCCTAATGTCATAATAGCATTATCCCTCAAAAAAGAGCTAGACATGGTCTTTTCTAGATTGCAATTAAAACATAGGAAGATAGAGACTTCCGTTATACCATGTGATCTGAGACAGAATACACACAAAGTGCCCAAAGGACATGAGAATAGGTACCTTCTTTCCGAAATCCCTGAGAAAAGGTCCCCAGTTTGCAATTTTCCCAGAAAATAAGGCAAGCGTGCGAGTATCAGGGGCAAAAACATTCTCAGGCAACCTGTCTGATGGGGAATGCAGAGAGAGGGTTAGTGGCTAGTGGCTCATTTAACGTATCTAAAACACAACATGCACACTAATACAAACCAAAGTAAGACACAACTCACCTGGACTGATAGGATGGGAGTGGGCAACAGCTACCATAGCCCCTTCTTTAAAAACCAAAGCCAAACATGTGGATCCTTTTCTTGTCTCAGAGGATTCATCACTAGGCTACAAACACAACCACCAGGACATTAAAGATATAGAACAAACCAGAAGGGGAGAAGAAAAAAGAAAAAAGGAGGAAAAAAAAGAGAGAGAACTTACAGTGTCGTCATCATCATCATCAGGGAAAACAAGGTCATCTCTCACGGGAATGTCACCGAAATCAAATTCCTTCCACCACAATAACAATTCAAAAAACAAATCAAATCACAGAATAAGCGCCCCAAACACAAAGTCCACAAGACACACTTATTCATAACTCCAGTATATATGTACTGACTGCCTCATCTCAAAATCATATACACATGATGTCTATAAGGAATTCAACAAGGAAACAAAAGTAGATTGAAGTGGGGAGTTCGAAAGCGTCCAATTTTACCTCGTTCAGCATCTCGAGACCCGCTCTCCAAAAATCAGACCCGTTTTTATAATCCAATGCCCCTCCAGGTACATGAAACTAAAAACATACAACCACAAAAAGCAAAAATTAAATAAATAATAAATAAAAAAAACACGAAAATAATGATAATCAAAAAGCAAGGGGAAACCTTAAACCTGGAACAATTAAAGAAACTAACCCAATTAGGAGCGACGTCGGTGTTGGAAAAAAGAGGCCTTTGATCAGGTCGGCTGAGATCAATCTCCCACGACATCCCTCCTTCGCTAAATTTAATCGACAAGACTGCTTTAACCCTAATTGCCGTTCAGATCGCACGCATTTTAAGTATATATGAAAAAAAAATATATAAGTAAAATTCTACTAGGAATACTAAACAGCACGCCAAAACAATCCCTAATTTGATGGGGAAAAGAAAAAATTAAACAGGAAATTGAAGTCGAGCAGAGTATTCGCTGCTTTTTTTCTTTTTTTTTTTCCACCTTTTCGCTGGTTCTAGAGACGTTCTCTTCCGCGAAATCTACTTTCCGAGAATTTTAACAAAAAAAAAAAAAACTTTCCGAGACAACATCGCATCTCTATTTTATACTCCCCATAATTATTGCGCAATTTTTATCAAGTTATAAAATTTTATTTTTAGTCAAACTCAACAAAATTTGAAGTAAACTTCCCAAGATACCCCTAAATATATACATAAACTGGTTTAATCGATGAAGGAGAAAAACTTCTTTTACTTCTTCACTTTCGCTCCCCGACTCAAAAATCAATCTCAAAACCCCATAATAACGCCTTCAATTACTCTTCGGCGAGACACATAGCTATAATAAAACCAAATTTTCAGATGAAGAATATAATTTCGAGTTTCAATCTTTTTAATCTAGGTTCAATTTGTTTCTTTGTGAAGATAATCCTTCTATTTCACCGAAAAGTTTTTCGCCATCATAGATCGGAGAGAGTTCTTCATCTGTGAACCGAGCGCTTGTGCTAATTGAACCATATGAATTCTTTCGATTTTGAGAAAGTTCTTACTGTGATATTCATCCATACGATTATTATTTCGTCGGATGCCTTTTCAAATCGATCCATTACAGTTTCAATTCCAACGTTGCTGGAATTTCTTCTCTATGTTTCCTTTCTGACAACCACTCAGCACATTGTAACCTCCAGCTCTCGCTGCCGCTTCGAGATGTTGGAGTATAACCTTTGTTTTCTGTGTTGTTCGCTTCTTGTGCTTTGGGAATAACGCAAAACGCTTCTCTTTGGGAATACTGGTTTTCCGGTTAAACTGTTGCTTTTGACTAAACGGTATATGTATAACTTATTTGATAAAAAGTCAAATCGGACAATAATTTTGAGACAAAATTTTTTTTGGTAAAGTAGACAATAATTTTGGGGCAGAGGGATTATGTAGTAGTTAGGTGAAAATAAGTCGGTTGTGTGGTTCAAATAATTTGGGCTTCATTCCGGATCCAAATCCTCATTGGGCCCAAAGTTTTTTTGGACTTTGGTGCATCAAGGACTTAATTGAAATTTTTTAATAGTCTGCGAAATCAGACGGCTTAAATGGTCGTCACCTTCTTTTCTTTTTTTCTTTTTTTATCAAAAGCGGCATTCATTTCTGATTATAAGAAAATCAAGAACATAATACAGATTTTACAAGCAAGTAAGACAATTTGCCTTAAACATCTCAGCTAATCACAAAGGGGATTGGTTTTTTCTATTTTTGTGTACATTTGTTAGATAAGCCTAATTTGACAAGATTGAGACTAGTTGAGTTCCACTCTTTACAGATATACAAGAATTTACAACAACCAAAGAATGATTTCAACAAAAAGATGTCTTTGACTATTGTAATAACATCTGAAATTGGGAGAATTTTTCTCTGTAACCAAGCTACAATAATCTTGTCATCTAATTGGACTTCAACATTCTTGACTTCTTTCCTACGGACTTCATCTAAAGCTGACCTTATAACTTCCAGTTCAGCAGCAAAGGGGCTCAGTACTTTGCCCTGATGCATTGCCATAGCCAGTAGCATCTTTCCTTCAGTATCTCTAACACAGAAGCCCAAACCTGCTTCATGATCACCTGTCTTCATCATTGAGTTGACATTTATTCTAACAACTCCTTTCTCAGACGGTTTCCATCGTTGAAGCTCTAAATCATGTACTCCCTGCTAAACTGTTTTAGGAACTGATCCATGCATTTTTGGTTGTGCTTCTTTATACTCTTGCCATTCTCTTACTGCTGCTTGCACCACATCCATGGCTTCCACTCTTTTCCCTTCAAAACACCAAGTGTTTCTAGACTTCCAAATCTGCCACAACAGATAAACAGTGAGTTCTATCCTCTCTGTCAGATTACCACCCTCATCAATCATCATTAGAGCATTCCACTAATCTGCAAAGTTTACTGTTCTTGCACTCAACCCTTCCCAGCTGACTGGAGATAAATTCCAAACTCTCTTTGTGATCTCACAAGAGAACAACATATGTTCTATGCTTTCCTCCCCTAAACCACATCGACAGCATACCCTATCTACCCCCATACCTCTGTTTTTCAATACTGTATTAACTGCCACCCATCCCCTATAAATCTTCCAAACAAAATGCCTAAGTTTAGGCTTAATTGGTATTTTCCAGGTTCTCAACCATACCTTCTTTGATACTGCCCTCCCCTTGCTAGATTCATCTTGCCTTCTGCTATCATTCTTTCTTTTTACTATATTCTTGACGCAGAAGAGACTGAGAATTGCCAATTAACCTCATAGCTCCAAACCTGTACATCCTGGCCCCGACACTTACTAATAGGTATTTGAATTACCTTGTTCATCTCTTCAGGTACTAGTATTTGCTACAAAAGCTCCTTTCTCCATGTACCTGTTCTAGTATCTATTAGTTGTGCCACCTTCGTCAGATTCAGCTCATTCACAGTTCTATTATGAACTCCCACACCACAACCATCCGGCAACCAGTTATCCAGCCACATATCTACTGTCTTCCCATCTCCAATCTTCCATTTTAGCTTCCTTAGCACCCCCCTGCTTGCACCTAACCAGCTTTTCCACATTCAGGAATTAGATCCCTTTTGTTGAAATTGTCCCAATGGACAATGTGGGAAGTACTTTTCTTTCATCACCTTCGCCATCAGAGTGTTTGGTTCTGCTATTAACCTCCATATCTGCTTGGCCATCATTGCTTCATTAACTGATCTAAGATCCCTAAATCCCAATCCCCCATGGTCTTTTTTCCTTTGCCATTTTCTCCCATGGCCCCAATGAATCTTCCTTCTGTCATCACCATCCCCCCGCCAAAAAGTTGCCATCTCTTTCTCAATCTTCTTACAGACATTATCAGTTAATCTGTAACAGGACATAGCATAAAGAGGAAGAGCTTGTACCACTAATTTCAATAAGATCTCCTTCCCAGCCATGGATAGGAACTGACACTTCCAGCTTTTGATTCTCGTATCAGCTGCTTCTGTCACATATTTGAAAACCTCTGCCTTTGATCGCCCAATCACCAGTGGTAGACCTAAATACTTAGACTTCCTTTGAACGTTATTCCATTTAGTTCTGCACAAATCAAAGCTTTCTTAGTTGGGGATACATTTTTGCTAAAGAAAAGCGATGATTTTTCCCAATTCACTTTTTGGCCCGAACACCGCCCATATTCTGACAGTATTTTCTTAACACACTGCACCTGGTCTAAATCAGCTTTACAAAATAATAAAGCATCATCAGCAAAAAGCAGGTGAGTGATCTCAGGTCCATGTTTACTAATTTTCAACCCCCTCATTTCCCCTCTCCCAACAACCAGTTTTATAAAATGTGAAAAAGCATCTGAAACAATCAAGAAAAGGTAAGGGGACAGTGGGTCCCCTTGTCTAATCCCTCTAGAAGGAGTAATGTATCCTTTAGCTTCCCCGTTTATATTAAATGAAAAAGATGTTGTACTAACAAATTTCATTATCCATCCAACAAATTGGAGGTCAAAACCCATTTTAATCAACATATTGGCAAGAAATCTCCATTCTACTCTATCATATGCTTTTGCCATGTCAAGTTTTATAGCTACAAATTCCACTTTTTTTGTTCTCAAATTATTAAAATGATGGATATATTCATGAGCAATACAAACATTATCCAAAATTTGTCTGCCAGCAAAAAAGGTCGACTGATTTTCACTGATTCAAAAAGATAAAAGAGGTTTTAATCAATCCGCTAAAATTTTTGATATTATTTTATAAACAGTAGTACTTAAGCTTATTGGTCTATATTGGGATATTTTACTGGGTTTATCAATTTTCGGAATAAGTGATATCAAGGTATGGTTTAAAGATTTCAGCATGCAAGTAGACTGGAAAAAACTTTTAACAACACTACATAAATCAGGTTTAATGATATTCCAGAAAGATTAGAAGAACAAAGGGGTCATACCATGTAGGCATGGTGCTTTGGTTTGGTTCATTCCAAACAGTGCATTTTTTATCTCTCCTTCCTCCACAGGGTGTATAAGTACAAAATTCATCTGCGTTGTGATTGTGGTTGGCATATCATTCAGTAGCTCCTTCCATCCTGGTGAGTCTTCAGACTTAAACAGATCCACATAGAAAGATGTTACTTCATTCTCAATCTCCTCCTCTGTAACACACCATGATCCATCTGTTCTTTCCAGCCTCTCCATTTTGTTCCTGCTCCTTCTTTGTAGTGTTAAGGCATGGAAGAATTTTGAGTTCTTATCACCCTCTTTCAACCAACCATTCCTGCTTTTTAGTGCCCAGAGCTTTTCTTCCTCCTCATTTGCTTTGTCTAACTTGTCAGATAGTTCTTTCCATCTTCCCCAGTCTCTATCACCCTCCAATTCCTTCATTTGGTTCATCTCCAAGTTTACTTCATGTATGCCTTTGCTTGTATTGGTATATTGTTCCCTGTTCCACCTTAAAAGCCCCAACCTACATTTTTTTTATCTTCATCGAGAGTCTATGCATCAGTGAACCTTCTACTTCCTCATTCCATGTATTTTCCACTACCTCAGTAATCTCCTCTTTCCCAATCCATCTTTTGTCAAAACAAAACCTACTCTTCTTCTCTTGTTTTGTCGGATCTGTGTCCATCAACAGTAGGCATTGATCATATGAGTAACTCTCTACATGTGACACCACAGTCCTTTCATTTTCTAGCATCCAACGCATTGAACCAAAAAACCTGTCAAGCCTCTCCTCAATGAATTCCTTTCCCCTTTTGTTATTTGACTAGGTCTATAACCTTCCTTGATGAGCCATTTCCTCCATCCCCATTTTTCTTATGAACTCCTTAAAAACTTCAAAGCTACTGGCACTCCTAACTCTGCCACCTTGTTTCTCTCTACCTTCCCTTATTTCATTGAAATCACCCCCAATAAACCACCTGTTCCCCCACCTAATGAGTTTACCAATAGTTCTTTCTATTGCTGTGCTCTTTCAGTTCCATCCGTACTAGCGTATACAAAAATCCCCCAAACCCTTCCATTTGTTTCCTTTGTTTCATATTCTACCTCTATACTGAAACTAGTAACTAATATATTATGAATACTAACCTCTGCTCCCCACCATATCACCATCCCACCCCTACTATCTATAGGCTCAACCATCTGCCATCTATTCCCAAATCCCAACTTCTTACCGATCATCTCAACAAAACCAAACTTTTGTTTTGTTTCACACAAAAACACCAACTCCGGATTATAGAGACGACATGACTCTTTCAGTTGTCAAACTGTAGAAGGTCTGCCAATTCCTCTACAGTTCCACGCAATGACTCTCATTGGGAAACTTGGGGCCAATCAAGGCTGGCTACCCCCACCTCATATAGCTGATTCTCCTTATTTCCTTCACATTCATTTCTGTTTTCCACATTCGATATCACCACATCCTTCCTTCTTTTTAGTTTTGCAGCCCTGTTTTGTTCCTCTTCAACTTCAGGTCCCCTCATTCTCTTTCCATTTACATCTCCTTTCCCTAGTTTCTTCCCCTTTCCCTTTTCCTTGTTATCTCCTTTAGTTATTCTTGCACGTTTCTTCCACTGGTTTCTCTTATTTCCTACCCCACCCATGCTCACTGTTTCACCTTCCTGCATTTCCTTATTTGTTATATCACCTAGTGCCTGTCTCTCCCCCCATCCTCCAAAGTCAGTAAATGGTTCCCCCTCATCTGACATATCATCTACTTCAATATTCTGTTCCATTTCGACATCATCATCCCAATCTGAGTTCCCACCACCTACAATGGGTTCTTTCCCAGCTTGCCTAGCTCTATTTAGGAGGTCTGTGAGAGCTCTCATCCTTTCGCCAGGCATCTGTTCTGATTTCCCATACTCTTCCTCCTCTACCCTCAAACCCCTTTTAACTACATCCGTCCATTTTAGTACTCCACTACACTCTCCTTTCTCCCTTTTACTTGCCAGCCCCTATTGCTCAGAGACCAAAGGATCATCAGACTTCTTTATCAGGTCCCCTTCTAGATCAAAGCTACTAATTTTATCCTTCCCTAAATTACCTTCCTCGTGCTGATTTCCCCAGCCCCTCTATTCTCATTTCCCCCTTCACCAATACTTATGCCCACATTCTTTTTAGAAACATCCCCTACTAACGTTCCTTCCTTCTCCCCATTATGCCCTTGTGCCATGTCCTTAACCTCCCCTCCTTCCAGTACCCAGCTTTCATCCAAGGCCCAAATTCCCCTTCTTTCAAACACTTATTCTCTATGTCCATTTCCCTTTTCTCACACGATTTTTCAAAATGGCCTATATGCCCACAATATTAACAGAAACCAGGAAGATTCTCATATTTGAAAACAACCCTTACCTCTTTACTGTTGTAGGTCAGCCATGTCCCCCTTTCCAATCGTCTTCTTAGGTCCATTTCCACAAGGATTTTGATGTGTTTGTATTCGGTTCCCCCCACATCAGGAATTATAACATCACGAACTTCTCCCAGCATCCTCCCCAACTTCTGGCCAATCTCCTTTGAGATCCAGTGGACAGCGGTGTTCCAGATCTGGACCCAAACTGACGAGAAGTTGAAGATCTCTGTATCCATATCTATGTCGTCAGCCCATTTTTCCAACACCATAAAATGGCCGTCAAAGGACCATGGCCGTTGCCGCATGACTGCATCTCTCTCCGCCTCCTTGGAGAAGATGAATTGAAAAGTGTTGGATTGCAATTTATCCACTCTCCCCAGACTTTTCTGCCTCAAAGACTTCTCTATGGCGTTTTTAACCCCATAAAATTTCATCCTTTTATCCCCAAAAATTTTCCCGATGAGACTTCGAATCCCTTCCTCTCTTCCTCTTTTGGTGTCATCCTCCCCCAGCACCACCCTTTCTTTCTCAGTTGACGAGAGAGACAAAGTCTCAAATTTTTCTAGGATTTCACTTTCCATGCCTCAACGTTGGCGACATGTCAAAATTCCGCACTGATTTCCTTATGGTGGATGGTCAAGATCTGAGGAAAATAGTGGAGAATTTGGTCAATTTCGGAAAAACATGCAGTTAATTTAATATAATGGGTTTGAAGTAGTAAATACTTAGAAGGGATTTTTAGAGAATAGGTATTCAACAGACCATCAAAGTGCTCATGTATTATTCATAAAACATTAGATGATATCATTTCAATATAGATCTATGTTCCTTTTTGAACATTTTGATGAAAATTTTAAAAAGCAAGTAAACTCCTGCCCACGGGGAGAACTATACTCTCACAAGGAGAGAGAAGGACTCTAATTCTAGAGAGAAGGACTGGCGCGCATGATGGGTTTTCTAGATGGTCGTCACCTTCATTTGTACAAGGCAGCGAAGAATTTAATCGATTTTGTTATTTTTTCTTTAATTTTTCTTCTTTTATTTTACCTTTTACCATATCGGTCCTCGCCGGATCTGACAGATTTTGTTTTTGTCATATGGCCATAGACTTAAATTAGCATTAAGAAATTTTAGTTGAAGAGAGAAATAACTAGAAGATGTCGTGGAGATACATCTCCAAAAGAATCTTAAAACTATTGATATGTCTATTTACTCGTTTATACTAACGTATCATCAAGCTTCAATCAAAGTTTTCAAGATCGAACAAATACAACAAATCAGGCATGTTCCCGGAAGAGGAATTGGATACAAACACTCCCCAGACCACAAAGCGGATTTCTAAGATGTCTGCCCTTCAAGTTTAAACAATGGCCCCAACCAAAGTACTGTGTATGTTACTGATTATTACGCTCATAATAAGCCCATGCACATTATTATACTGTAAATAAACATTATCGATTAAATTATAAAAAAGTATCATAAAGATCAATATTATTACTAAGGGCATTACCGATTTTTATTATATTTAGTAAAGAATAATGATAGGTACATGGAAAAATTACAAGGAAAAATGACAAGTAAATAATCTCACCCATCCATTTCAAAGACTTTCCATACGGGGTTTAAGCATTTAAGATTAGGGTATAGTTTAGATGTTTGGCACATCATTCCTTGTAAATTTTCCTTGTCATTTCTTCTTTGTACGTATCACTACTCTTTTGTAAATTGGATAAATACAACTAAAGTTTTACTCCCTCTTCTCTAAATTATTTCCAGTTTGGATTTTTATTTTAAGTATTGCACTAAAAATATATGCTATCTTAACTCATTATAAATGTATATAAAAAATTTTATTACATAAATTTATTAATATGAAAGTAAATTCTCACTCAATAAACAATTAAATCCCGGGTCAAATCTGTTTTTTGGAACTTTTGAAAATTATATTTTCACAGCCCTAAAATAATTATCCAGTTTGAATAATTTACAATGAAAATTTAAACTGGACAATCATTTTGGGACTAGGAAAGTCTTAGTTTTAGTACACCGAATGTACATAATAAATATGAACAAACTTGTTTGGAGAAAATTCAGAAAAAGTTTACATCATTTACTATCATATAATAAGAAAAAATTCTTTGGCCAAAGGAAGAACAATCAGTTATTAGTATTTTTTTTAATACATTTTGAGTATGGAAATATTTTGATAAACTTCTCGCAATAAAATATTATATTGAGTTAAAGAGATTTTGCTGCTTTTTTTTAATCAAAATGTTATATAAATTAAGAAAATGAAAATTTGATGAAAAAGACTAAAAGAGAAAAAAAAAATTGAAAAAATTGAAAAAAAAAAAAAAGCAATGCAGGCTAGAAATGTAAACTTGGTTTATGGAGGAAGAACTTAAAAGAAAAAATGAAAACAAAAATAAAAAAAGGAATCAGTGCCACACAACACTTATGAGACCCACTTTTTTTCATAAACAAAAGAATTGAAAACATGGAATTGAACCCCATCTTGAATTATAATTCCAATTTCAGAACTTTTATTTTTATCAGTCAAACACAAGAATTGGAATTGGAGTCCAATTCCATACAACCAATCAGAGCCTTAATGAATTCTTTGCTCTTCTTCTACTAATGAATTCTCTAGTTTTGGGATTAAGCTCACTCATTGAGTAGATCATGGATCAACTGGATAACGTGTTTTAAAGGGGTACACCATCCGATGATAAGAATGTTTTCCTTCAAGATAAAAAGAGTATTAAACTCTTATGACAAAGTCATCTCTGTGAGTTTTCTCTATACTTATCTTTGTGCCATTAGAAGTCTTGGTTATTCTTTCGAAATCTTAATGGAGGACATTTTAGGAAGGACTTTTGATTGGGTTTGAGTTGCTACTGGATTTAAAGGGGGTTCAACCCATGGACTGCACTTTCAGGTATGTTTTGTTTTATGTGTCTCTTGTTTGTAGTTTTCATCGTTAGCAGTATCAACAGACCAAAACAAATCAGTGGATCGTGTTACCATCAACTCAAGCAACAAGATAGCACATCTATGTCTCTATGATGGAAAACCTTTAATCTTCTCGTGATTTTGCATATCTATCTCTCTGAATTGGTTATGAGTCTAGTGCAGGATGAAGAGTTAGAAGTGCCTGATTTATGTCATTGTTGGGTATAGTGGACAGCCAAACCATCTAAATTATTTTGCAGTATTTTTTATGAGCTTATTACCCATAATTACCTTAGTTTAACTACATTTCCATCTAAGGGTCTGGATTTTTGATTAATGGCTGGATTAGCTATTCAGTTGACATTGGGTTGATTGCATACGAGCTGAGTGTTTTGGTTGCCTTAAGATCTTGGACTTTAGAGTTAACTTACTTTAAAGGAAGGACCAATTGCCACTCTTTTTGTCAGTCCTGGACTCTCACTGCCTATTGTGAGTTGCTGCCTTGTCTTTATTTTACAACAGTGGATGTATCTTCGACAATGCTTGGTTCGGATTTCCCAAGCTATTATTTCAGTTCATTTGGTTGCAATGTTATGGATAATCTTAAAGCAAGGGACCCAGTAATACAAGTAGTACTACTCATTACTTGCGACAAAGTCGCGACGACCTTCAAGGGCCGCATAATGTTATCATTACAGTTGAATATCATCACGATTTGGCATAACATCAAGATCTCCAAGGACCACCGAAGTTGTTTGTGCAAAAATAACCAGTAGAAATCGATGCATGCTTACAAACAATCTCAGACGAAAGTGTGTAACTTGTGAGATGCAATATTCAGCTAGGCATAAAGAAAAGGAGTTTAAAACTTGTAACAACTTGAATAAAGACCGAATTGCTTGTAAATTGATGAGCTCAACGAATTACAAAGAGTAAATCAATAAAAAAGACTTGTGAAAGTGCTGAAAAGAACAATAGGGTACGAAAAAGAAAGAAAAGAGCTTTGCAGCTTGTGTTTTGTTTGTGTTGATGATGAGTTATGTCTTGCGTTGCCCTAGCTCTCTCTTTATATAGGGTTCGGCAATCATCTGAGTCGGCGCGATCTCCGATTCCTAATTGAATTAGGTGTTGTCGATTTCGAATTATAATTGACTTTTGTTTCTGATTTCCTTTCTCCGCTACAATCGCAATTCTTCTCCGATCCAGAATTGGTATTCTCTTGCGTTGGGTTGGGCTTTCGACGCGTCTTCTTTTCCGATTCAAAGATGAATTTCTTTTCTCCGCGTCGGATGTGGAGTTCTTGTAACATGGTGTATTGGGCCGATTCACCACTTTTGTTGGGCCGACACGGTTTTAATTAAAATCGATGGTAACATAAAGCCCCCCAAGACATAGCTCATTTTAACAATGTGGTGTACCTTTTGAATATCCATCGGGCCAACAATGAATTGACCTATAAGTAGCGGCCCACAAGTTCGATTGAAAAATGGTGTATGGTGACCCCCCCAATCAATGGCGTGACGTAGGTAACATTTTTGAATGAAACAAAACTGAAAGAGATCTGTTCCAAAATAATCTGTTTGTTGTGAGAACGCGTAGGGAATCAAAATCCAATCCCGCAAATTGAGGAGTATCCTTCTCTTAAAGACGCTGCTTATCCACAACAGTCAGTTCATATTTTTCTCCCTAATTTCAAAATTCAAAATCTTTGTTTCCATCTCCTATTGATTTTACCAAAGCAAATCTCAAACTGGAAAAAACACAAATCTTTTGAATCGCAATGGCTGAGATGTATGTGGTGAAGTTTGATGCAGAACTTGCAAAAACTCAGAAGGTGAAGCTGGAAGAAATACTGGCCTTATCGCCGGATTTTGATGAACTGCTCAATCCACATGGACCGTCGGGTCACTATTCTCCGGGGCCTAGTTTCATGGCGGATAATGCCACGTTCCGTCAATATGTTCCGGTGCTGCATCCAGAAAATCCGTCCCATAGGTTCTTGTGCACCGGTTTTGGGCGTATCTATGGGTGGCCATGGCCGTCGGAAAAAGGTGATGTTCATCAAGAATTCTGCAAGTGGGCCAAATGACGGAGAAGTATCATGCGGCGACTAGGAAGAAAGCCGGAATATATAATCTAATTCACTTCTGCCATATGAGGATTTTCGACAACAAGGTCTTGCTTGGGGTAGCATCGAGATTCTGGAGTAATTCCAGCAATGTCTTCTGTTTCCCGTGGGGTTTGATGACTCCAACCCTGCTAGATGTGGCGGTGATAATAGGTGTTCTAGTTATTGCCGATGTCACTATTGATGGGGACAGTAAGGGCTCCGATGCTGTCAAAGCAGGTACACTGCAACAGAGAGGCCATGGAGGATATATTAAAGAGAACCTGCTGAAGGAGTGCAATGATCATGTGCAGCATATTTGGTTCCTTGCAGTGTGGCTTAATCGATACATTATATGTGGTAAGTCTTTCCAAATGACTACGGATATGTATCATATGGCTGTCATCCTTGCTACTGGGAAGTCCATCAATTTATGTGAAAATATGCTAGCAATGTTGTATCATAGTATGCATGAGATTAGGGAAGCACCAAATGAAACTATGTTTGGTCCAACTGGCTGTT